CACTCGAGATATCCAATCTGCGGAACAAACGTCACCCCCGCAAATCCCACTAATGCCCATCTTCCATCAAAACCCAGCCTGTGGAGGAGGTTAAGCTGTTCACTGGAGGCCGTGGAAAGGGGTGGAGATTCTGGATGAAAAACTAGCTTACTTTGCAGAGAGGTTCCAATCTTGAAATCAAAATCATTTTGAGCATATTTATAGACAAACTAAAGGTTGAATGAACAGGAATTGGAGGCCTCAATCTGATGATGTGTCGGGTATGTTAGATACCCTGCTAGCAAAGGAAGGAACTACGTGGGTTCAATGATCTAGAGTGGCTTGAATGTAGCAACGAGACAGAAAGCCATTGTCCCCTGACATGAATCAGATGCTTGCTGCTACCTTTACACATGAGGAGGCTTGTGAGGCAAATACACTAATCAAAAAGCCCTTGTCCCCTGTTGCTTTTGCTGCCATTTCTTTAAGAAATGGATGTTTGTCCAGTACTGTTAGGGGTGCTGAATGAGGATTGGAATCCACTAACTGTAAACCACTCATTCCCAAAGCTAACAGCCCTGAGAAATGCACTCATTTTCAAGCTTTTTATGGAAGCCCTAGCTTATTGGCTGAAAAAGATTTTGAAGGTTACAGTTAGTGAGCATCACAGTGTACACCTGGCTTTTGAAACTCTTCACTGCACGAAGAAGATGACAGGTAAGCAAGACATTATGGGGCTCGAGCTAGACAAGACAGCGGCGAGCATTGCTTCAACCGGTTTGATTTGGATAAGAACTTCAACTGAATTGAATTAAATAAAAGAATCAAAATATTGACCAGTTTGGTTTGGATTTATATTAAAAAAGAAGAAGAATAAATTTAATTTAATTCATAAATATGTTAGTTTGACTATATTTTATATATGCTTTGAATTTTTATTTTATAACAGGTTTTTTTCTTAAAAAAAAAATTGGTTCGTTTAATTTCTAAAATCAAAATCAAATACTCTAGAATTTCTTCAAACAATTTTAACCAGCCCAAAAAAATTGAAAACCATGCAATTAAGTTAATTTGGAGTCAATTTTCTTTAATATTTTAAATAATTTAATTAGTTTATTCACATTGATAATTTAATCTGAACTTGAAGAATATTAACTCAACTTGAATGAATAAATATATTTTAGACTTGATAGATAATAGGTAGGATGTAAATATTATCAAAATTAATCTGAAATTAACCCAAAATATATATTTATATTATATAAATATATTTATAGAATATTTAAATTTTTTAATATAATATGATATTTACATACTTTGATATAAAATACGTTTATATGAATAATATTTATCATTTTATTATTTGATAAATAATAAAAAATTCAACCTGCCTGCGGCACCCATTGCCGTCCCTACTCAACACAAGTAAAGGCATGTGATAGAGCTGAACAAGGGTTACTTAAGAAAGTTATGTTGAGACTGGGTTTCTGCCCGGAGGGGGTTGATGTTATTTGGTTCTTGTTAATGGCATTCCTCCCCGACAATTCCAACTTAGCAGAGGACTCAGGCAAGGGATCCTCTATCACCTTGTTTTTCATTTGTGTTGAAGGTCTTTCAGCTTTGGTCAATGATACTGAAAAGGGGGATTTAATTAATGTAGGAAAGGTTTGTCGTCGAGTGCCTTCCATCACCCATTTATTTTTTGCTGATGACAGTATTCTGGTTACCAGGGAAACTATGCGAGAGGTTGAATTTATTGCAGACATCCTCCCGCTATATGAAAAGCCTCGGGTCAGCTAGTAAATTTAGAAAAGACTGAAGTAGCGTTCAGCCAAAATGATCCAACACGTGCAGAAGATGTTCAACCAGAGATTAGGAGTTAAGGCAGTGCAGCGCTATATATGCTAATTAAATACTTGGGTCTTCCAGCTATGGTAAGAAGGCTAAAGAAGGCAGTCTTTTCCTCAATCCAGGACCAGGTTTGTAAGAAGGTGGGTGGCTTGAAAGAGAAATTTTTATCAGAAGTTGGAAGGGAACTTTTGATCAAATCAGTGCTAAAGGCCATTCCGACGCATTCGACATCGTGTTTTAGGCTTTCTGACACCCTCTATGAGGAGATGGGGAGTAAGATAAAAAAGGTTTTGCTGGTGCCAATTGAAGGATCGAAGGATTCACTGGGCTTTTTTGGGAGAAATTATGTAAGATAAGAAGGTCTTGTTTTAGCAAAGCACGGTTGGAGATTGCTTATAGCCCCTGTATTAAAACAGATATTTTTCTACAACCAGTTCTATATATAGAAGCTTCTGTTGGCCAATCTCCGTGCTATTCATGGAGAATTATTATTGGTGCTAAGGATCTGCTATAAGCAGGAACTAAATGGCGAGCTGGCAATGGAAATGATATCCGGATATTGAAGGATAAATGGGTACCAGATCTACCTGAGATGCGCATACAGTCTTTTGTTTCAGCTCTTGGTACAAGTGCTCAAGTGAGCTGATCAACTGGGAGACCAGGACTCGGGATGGTGATCTGATCGATTCCATCTTTTCACAAATGAAGCTCGGGGAATTCTATCCATCCTGATAAGTCTTCGTCGAGCAAAGGAAGATTTAACCAGGGCAATGGCCAGAAATGGTAGCTAACGTCTCTGTTAAAAGCGGATACCATTTTGAGAAAGAAAGACTGGAAGCTCGTCCATTGTTGACTAGTGAAGAATCTTGAATTTCTTCTGGAAGCTTCATATTATTCCTGAGGTCTATAGCTCTATATGGCATGCATGCCTAGATGTGATGCAATCCAATTCGAATCTTACAAGGAAGAGGATTACTGTTGATCATAATATTCGTGACAGATGCGTACCATTCTAATGGTGAAACGACTTGGCATATTCTGGTCCAATGTTCGTGGGCAAGGAAGATGTGGCTGGAGATCAGTCGTCTTAAAAGTGGGCACAGCACTTGAAACAAAGCCTCAATGATGATGAGATGAGGATAGTTTTTTCTCTTAAGTGGCTCTGACCCTCAGATTTGCATGCAATGTAACTATTCAGTGGTTGCAAATCTGAGTCGGGATGGAGAAGATTGGATTAGGGGTTGCCAAGCTCGATGATAAGGGTGAGGTAATGCTGACAGCTTCGAAACCAGTTGACCCTCTTTTTTCTGTAGAAGTGGGTGGAGCTTTTGCTGCTTAACATGGTCTACTTCTTGCTACTGATACGGGTTGTGCAGTGCTGTTCTGAAGACAAATCGTAATCCTCTTTCCCATGCCCTGAAGCCTCCACATTTCCTCCCTAGTGAATTGTGCAGTGCGGCGGTGGAGAGCATTCACATAGGCTCCAGCTTCTCCTCGTACTCACCTAGAAGTTCAAGCCATATCGCACATGCTCTTGGTAGAATGGTGGGTTGATCTCGAGAGAATTTGGATGGAGGTTACGTTGATGATTATGATGATGATTGGTGCACTCAGAATTATCTGCTATTTCATAAGAAGAATTAATAAAAATAGATTATGATAAAAAAATCAAGAATCATCCAATCCATTTATGGTATCTGTATGGGGATTATGGTGGGTTCCAGCAATTTAATCACTCAAAATGTTCCTATTATTTTTACTTTTGAAATAGCAGTAATTCTCATGAGCTAGCTACTGTTCTAAATTCTATTAGGGTTATTCAAATAATCAGTTGTTTGATTACTCTTCCCATGAAGATAATAAGAATTATATGGTGAATTACGCAGCATTAATTAACTATATTTACACCCGTTTTAATAAACAAAAAAAATTCCAGAAAAAAAACAACGATTCTCTAGCTAAAAGAAGTAGATTGTGCTTAACTTACCATTAGCCTTTCCTTTAATTATCTCATTAGAACTTACTGGGTCTACGCCCGAAGAAGAAGAAGAAGAAGAAGAAGAAGTTAACAGGATTAACTTTAAAAATTCTTTGAGATGCCTTTTTTTCCCGTTCAAACATTCTTTAATTCCACTTCAGGTTCCATCTTTACTACAAAGTAAATTCTACATTCGATTTCTCGAAGCTTACTCTTGTCTTTTTTTCTGTTCGGAGCCGTGAAATGAACATGATTTTATTTATTTATTTATTTTTTTACCATGTTCATATCTTGTAGTAACATGGTCAAACGGAAAGGATGGCCTTTTTTTTTTTGCCTTACAATAAGGTTACAGTGTTATTAGTTATTAAACTTCACATCATTAGGACATGGGAAATGATTAGGATTAAATTTATAATAAAATAAAATATTAATTTGATAAAACATCGAAGCATGATTATTAAACTAGCTCGGCTTAGTGAGTTGGTCTAGAAAAATTAAAACATCGAAGCATGATTTTAATTGGAAATTTTATAACCTAACTGAACCAGCTCGATTAAGGCAAAAATAAATAAATGAAATACTTCATGCAAATAAAAATAATTAATCTAAATTAAGTAATTAGATGATGCACGAGTCAATCAACTGATTTGATAATTCAACTCTTTTTTAAAGTAAATTCCAAGATGGTATATTAAAATCATGAATAAAAGCTCAAATGGAGAAGGGAAAGTTGAGGTGGCAAAGGTTATGGAAGGACTCAACAGGAACGTTTAACCGACGCCAAATGCCAATATTCTGGAGGGTGCTTTCTCGCTTTCTTTCTCACTCACATTCTCTACAGTGCATGTCTCTGTCTCTGTCTCTGTCTCCTCTGTTTCTTCTCTTAAAACCCAAACAAACTAACCAAGTTTTTACTTCAAAAACTCAGACAAGTTTCTCTCCTTAAAGACTGTTACGACTCTAATTATATTCTCAATCACCTTCTCTCTCACATACACTCAAATATATATACATACAGCACTGACTCTGTCTCCCTATCTGTCTCTGTCCATGATGGAAAATAATGGATTTTCTTCTCCTCGAAATGATTCGTTTCCAGCTGGTCTCCGCGTTCTCGTTGTCGATGATGATCCCACCTGGTTAAAAATCCTTGAAAAGATGCTCAAGAAATGCTCTTATGAAGGTTACTTAACCATATTTTTTCCACATCCGCTTCTTACTTGCATCTATACTCTTCTTAGTTGCTCCTTGCGATTTCTTTTTCACTTACAAACTGTTGTTTCTGAACTGGGTTTTGTTTCTACAATCCACGGTCTCATTTCTGCTTGATGGTGGCTTTTACTCTGTGTTTCTTTCCTGTTATTTGGTTTTTTTCTTTTTCATGGGCTCTGAAGGATAACTTGATTTCTCTGTTGTAAGCTAGTACATGGAGAATTCGAGATTCTTCATAAATAATTGATATCCTGCAATTTTTTCCTTCCTTTTTGAGCTATGCAAGTGACATGCAACTAAAGGGTTCCAAAGTTGTGCATGGAAGGTTGTTGTATTGTTTTTGAGCATTTTTGGAGTTTATTATTTTCAGGAATTATTTATCACCTCAGGTATCATTTCAAGTTCCAAAATTTTGTAGACAGGCTCATGGTATTGGGAATGTGGAGGAATTGTCTTTCTTGATTTCAAGATTTGAAGCTCAGAATATGCTTATTTCCAACAGAAATATACAAGTTAATCATCAATGATGTTGTTCTACTCTTTTCACAGATTTGTCCTTTTTTCTTTTTTGCAGTTGGTTAAAGTAATTAGAGGGTTTATTGATGTTTGCTCCACTATTACTAGCCAACTAAACTATTGAAAGTATGAAACACATCAATATCCTCCTACTCTTTTAGTATTTCCAGTTTTATTTAATTTTCATGTTCTGGGTGCATTTAACTCAGATTTAGTGATCTCGAGTATGATGAGATTGAATGGGTTATGATTGTTTGGCAATGTTGTTGTCTTTTATGTGTTTATGGTTGTGGTTACAGCTATCATCGCCGCGATTGTTGTTGCCATAACAGAGTTAAATTATATATCTGTTGTTTGAAGTGATTTGGAGTTGAAGGCCAAAACAATAGTTAAAAAAATCAAAATCATGATTTGATTGACATGATATTAATATGGACGTAAGGTATAAACTTTACTAAATTTTTTAAAGGATCTTTAATTAAAAGAAAGTACTGTCATAACAGAACTCATGAGCCTCAATTTTCAGAATTTTGATTTTTGGCCATTTAAGCTACTTCTGTAGCTGTTTTTTTTTTTTTTTTTTTTTTTTTTCCTTTCTTTTGTTCCTGCAAAGAAACTTGATGGGAGTGTGGTGGGAGGAAAAGCACCTCCACCGCAGCTCCAAACACCTTCCTCAGCTAATCATTTTACATGTTAGCATTGATTTTCCTTGGCATTTTCATTATATTTAGAAGGATACTGCAATTCCCTATAGAGTCATTGAACACTCAAAGTCAACCCGGTTTTTGGATATAATTGTTTTCAAGTACTTCTGTCTCTTCCATCGATATTTTTTTCCTTAATTCTTCTAATACTATTGAAGGCCTTTTACATCATAATTTTCTTCTTACTTTTTCGGTATTTCACACCCTCACAATAATATCTTGTTCAGTGAAAGTGTTTTCTTATGCTGGATGTGACTCTATAGCAAGATTCTTGGCTTTTGACCATACGTGTAGTGTCTCACATTTCCATTTGGAATGCTTTGTTTAGTGACCACATGCGGTTTGGCAAGAGATGCTTTGAACCTGCTTCGTGAGAGGAAAGGAGGATATGACATTGTAATTAGTGACGTCTACATGCCTGACATGGATGGTTTCAAACTTCTGGAGCTAGTTGGACTGGAGATGGATCTTCCAGTCATTAGTCGGTTCTTTTCTCTTACTCTGGAATTTTATTTCAATGCCAATATTTTCTATTTGCGTATGCATATACCCATGTCGTGCTTGCACTATATATATATCGGAATATTGATTCAGCTTCTGACCAGTTTCGCTTGTCAACTTACAGTGATGTCTGTTGATGGAGAGACAAGCAGGGTGATGAAAGGCGTTCAACATGGAGCATGTGATTATCTTCTTAAGCCTATACGAATGAAAGAACTCCGGAATATATGGCAGCATGTATTCAGAAAGAAAATACACGAGGTAAGAGATATTGAAATTCTCGAAGGGAACGAAAGTTTTCAAATGACTAGAAATGGATCAGATCAATATGAGGATGGGCATGTGCTCTGTGGAGAAGATCTGACTTCCATAAATAAAAGAAAGCATTTTGAAAGCAAGCACGATGAAAAAGACACTGGTGATAGTATTTCTACAAAGAAAGCAAGAGTAGTTTGGTCAGTAGATCTTCACCAGAAATTTGTCAAAGCCGTAAATCAGATAGGATTTGATAGTAAGTATTTATTTGATGTTTCATTTCAGAAACTTGGTGCTTGAATCATTTCAGGAATTATGAATGCTCGCATATTTTATGAAAAATTTATTAGCATTGAATTCTTTATGTGGTTTCCAATGATATAGCCACATCTTTGCCATCCTTCGATGGAGCAATGACAGGTAGTGTCTGTTTGGCAGAAGTTGGTCCCAAGAAAATACTTGACATGATGAACGTGCCATGGCTAACAAGAGAAAACGTTGCTAGCCACTTGCAGGTATAACATATGAAAATCAATCAAAGAATTTTAACATCTTTCTGTCATTTTTAAATTCAACATGTCTTATGAGTGTACTTGATTTTGAGAAGTACAGTATTCCTCATTGGAAAGGCTTTCTTACATGCAGAAATACCGTCTCTATTTGAGTAGGTTGCAGAAAGAAAACGATTTTAAAAATCCTGCTGGTGGGATAAAGCAGTCAGATTCACCTTTAAGAGATTCTGCAGGAAGTTTTGGCTCTCAGAACTCCATCAACTTGCAGCACAATGATGTTTCGAATGGGAGCTACATATTTTCTGGTAGTAGCTTAGTTGTCCACAATGGGGATCCTAGAAGCCATGACAGTGATCGAAAGAGACTTGTTTCGACGCCTGTGGAAGAACCCAAAAGAACCTTAACTGTTAACGTTCCCAATCCTCGTATACCCAGAAGTTCACAAATGGAATTTGGTCAACCCCTGGCACCTCCACAATCAGAAGTAGACTTTGGAGCATTGGATTCTACTTTCCCAACAAAGTATCCTTGGTGTGGAATTCAACTAAAAAAAGAACATAATCCACTTCATTTGAATGATGAATTCAGCCACCTTCCACTGCCTGGTCAAAAGCAGCTTACCCAAGCTGATTATCCACAACCTGCTCCAGCCATCAGTTCCGCACCATCCTCAACACCTTCTCATAACGAGTACAGGAGCAATGTTAACCATGCAAGGTCAACAGCTATTGCGGTTGACTCTAGCCCTATTCAAACAAAGACCGATGTGGCAAATCATCAAGCTGTTGAGCCCAATTCCAAGAGCACACCAAGTTTGGAAAATCAAGGCTTCAATATGAATTCCATTACAGAATTTGAATCTTCCCGAAAAAACATAAATTTGGGAATGCTACCTTTCACAACTTTGGAGGAAGACTTGCAAGTATGTTGGGTTCCAGGTGATTGCTATATGAATCTCGGACTCCAGAACATAGAGGTTCTGGAATACTTCGACCCAGGTCTTATCACAGACGTACCGGTAAACTTGAATGATGGGCTGAGGTTTGACTATGAGTTCTATGACCCCACAGAATATTCTCTAATAGATCAAAGCTTGTTTATAGCATGATCTTCCTCTCCCTTCCGTTCATGTTTAGTGATGAAGGATCACTTGCCTTGCCTTTTTCTGTACCAATACATTATAGGAGCCTTCTAACTCTGGGTTGGGATATTTTATTTTTGATCGGTCTGGTCTTGGATGTTGAAACACGTATAACAGGAGTGATGGCAAACAACCAGCATAATAATGTCTGTCACTCACCTCTGGTACCTGCATTACTGTGCTGTATGCTGCATCTGTCAAATTCCTTACAATGTATTAGCTGCCAGAAGTAGAAATCTTATCATCGCACATCTCCTTCTGATGCTTTAACTGAAATGGTTTTATGTCCATTCTCTGCTCATTTTGCTTGATTAGTATTAAGCTGACTCAATTGATGGCATTGCAGAACTCTGATAAGGTCCAATCCTTCGGCAGTACTGGCACGCACTTGTTTGGCCTCAACCTAAAATCAAGTGCACTAAGCAGCTTTATTAATCCTGGGCCCTTTGTTCACGCATTAAATGGACTGTTCTGTCTATGTAGGTTTTTTTAATTCAGATTGTGTTTAACACACAAGAAATGAACAAAGAATGGGAAATAATAGTCGAAAACATAAGAATTGGAATTTCTAAAGCAGCCAGTTTCTATCAGCATCTAGCTTTACTCGAGGACCAGAAAATTTACCTGCTCAGCGAAACAAAGTGATGCTAAGCTAATAATTGAGAATATACACAGATTTTATAGTGCTAATTGTACATAGCAGGCCATGAAACAATAGTGCCAATCTTTCAACATGTAATGAAAGAATGATCCCCTCGATTCTACTGTCAAACCTCAACATGCTACATATCGCCAAAACTATTCAACTTCCACAAGGAAACAGAAAAAATGACTGGTATAAAATTATACTTAGGCAATATTTGTTTTTGAGTCGCGTTGCACCGCAGCAAAAGCATCAAACTGGCCCTTAATGTTGAATGCTGTCATCAAAATTACAGTGCCATCAATGGATTATTTTCCTTGCGTAGCGTGTAGAAATGTAAATCTGCACAATCACTAGCTGGGTTGATCATACACAACACAGTTCAGATGCTCATAAGAGGCACCCTCGTATACAAGGAGCTCACGGCTGGATATTTGGAGAAGCATTCTCATGTGTGTTCTTCTCTGGTAGCAAGGTGATTGAGCGAGTTGAGCTATGGTTACTTCTCTGGATAACAGGCTTGGAGCTTGCCACATTGGAGGTTGACTTCCTCCCAAGTTTCGGTGATCGAGGTCGAGTCAATGGGATCTGCAGAACATGATTGATCTGTAAAACTAAAAAAAAGCAATGCATCTAAGCTTAGACCTAGAACCGTATCTCTACTTCTTTTCACCCCTGGTCCTATGGAAAATGGGAAAACCATCTCATCAACAGAAGAAATATATGAAAGATCAGATTTCCATGATTGAACTTCTAAAGTAGGCCGATGCGAGTTCAAATTTTGAATGACTGAACATCTAAAGCATGCCTAATTAGCAAGTTTGATTTCCTATTTTGTAGTATTAGGTTCTTCTAAATGTTAAATTTTGTACAACAGTTATAAATTACCAATGCAGCAAATTCTAGCAGCTTCATGCACATTGACCATGAAGTCAACATAATACTACCAAAATATTATTCATGAATATTAGATATGAGACGAACCTTCATCGTTGAATTTTCTGGAGACCGCAATCCTCGATGCAAGTCATCTCTTGGCTTCCCCCCGAAGACAGCACTCTGCCGTAGTTTCTTAATGTCATATTCTGCCTTCTCCTGCACAGCATTAACGGAAAAGGTAATTTTTTGAAAATGGCTTTATCAAGAAACAAGGATAAAATGCAAGTCCAATGTCAGAAAATATTTTTTGGATAGAATCATTGAGTATAGAATAAAGGAAACCCATCTTAGCATTTGTGACCCACAATACCAAACAAACACTACAATAAGGTTATGTGAGACAACCTTAGGTCTTGCTTGCAGATGCTTTTTTTCTGTGTCCTCCTTTGCATTGTTTTTCTCTCCAAGCTTCTCAAAGAACTAGGATAGCCAGAAAAAAACGAGATATCACACCATGAGATTATTGTAACAAGGAATAAATGGACAGAACTGAAGAAATGAATCTTGCCTCTTTTCTTTTTGCCGCTCTTTCATCACTTCTAAAGCTAAATGGAGAGGAGATAAGTGGAGGTCGTGATTTGCTTCCCTTTGCACTTGAAGATTTCGAGCAGCTGTAATTCTATATGTTTAGGAATTGAACATAGGAAAAATGTTGCTTCTCTGTTCTAGTTACTAGTTATTCATTCTCCATGAATGGTGTGCTATAAAGGTGAAGAATGCAAGAATGCTACAAACATAAGAATTAATTTTATGCTAAAAACTCAGTGTGTTATACCATCTAGTCCCACAGTAGCAAACATATGACCGTGGCATGAGAAATATGGCACAGACAAAAAAGAACCATTCAGGAAATCCAGGAGCAAAGTCCTTACTCTGAAGAGAGGATCTGCGATATTCCACCTGCTGTCATTTTTCCTGAAACTGACTTGTTGAGCTCTGACTTAGTTCTGCAAGGATACACTAAGTTAACGACAACAATTAGAATGGGTCAACTGCTGGTTTTTGTATAGACAACTACCTTCTATCTTGTGAACGCCGAAATACTGAAGGAAGAAGCTTTGATACACCATAAACAGATCCCTGCAGTTTAGACATGTAATTCATCATGTTGAGTTGCTACATTATTACTGGTGTGAGTATTAATTGAAGTGTGCACACATGAGTGTCTGTACTGCATAAAATGATACAGTTCAAATAATGATCATGGTATGAGGAATGGAGATACCTTGGTTGAAATTTCTGGAGTAGCGGACCTGTCTTTAGATACTCTGAGAGAACTTTTATTGGTGTCTTGCAAACGAGAAGAAAAATTGATTGACATGTGGATAGATTTCTGAGTTACTCCCTTTTTGTCCATCAATCCTCCAGCAGATTTCTTACTGTTTGTAGTTGCATTTGTTTCAGCTCTTAGTCTTGTGGAACTTGACAGTTTGGGAGAAGACTTTGGGAGTTTCGTTGCTCTACTCTGACTAGATGATTTTGATGAAGAACTCATTTGCTTTTTATTACTTGGTAAAGCTACATTCTCCTCCTCAGCAGCTACCTGAGTGGAATGGCAACTTACCTTACTGGCCGTGTCACTGTCCTGAGCATTTTCAATCTGCTTTGCATTTGCGACCTGAATAGATTTTTCCATGTCAACATTTTCAATCATGGTGGATAAGTATATTCTTACTGGTGTGAGTAATAATTGAAGTGTGTGCACACATGAGTGCTGCATAAAATGATATAGTTCAAATAATGATCATGGCATGAGGAATGGAGTTACCTTGGTTGGAATTTCTGGAGTAGCGGGCCTGAATTTAGATACTCTAAGAGAACTTTCACTGGTGTCTTGAAAATGAGAAGAAACATTAATTGACATGTGGATAGATTTCGGAGTTACTCTCTTTTTATTCAGCAATTCTCCAGCAGACTTCTTGCCGTTTGGAGTATCCTTTGTTTCAGCTCTTAGTCTTGCGGAACTCGGAAGTTTGGCTGAAGACTTGAGGAGTATTGTTGCTCTACTCTGACTCGATGATTTTGATTGCCTTTCATTACTCGGTAAAGTCACATTCTCCTCTTCAGCAGCTACCTGATTGGAATGGCAACTTACCTTATTGGGCATTTTCTCTTCCGATTTGGCCACGATAATGCCAGAGTCTTCGGCATTTTCGTTCTCCTTTACATTTTCCACCAGAATGGAGTTTTCCATCACAATATTTTTTTCTCTCACCTCTTCATTTCCTTCCACCTTCGCATGTTGTAAATTATCCTTTCGCTCGTCAGCATAAAATGCATTTGCATCAGAGGATTGAATTAGGCCAGCATCAACACTCCCCTCATCTTGTTCATTGATGATCACATCATTGGTTTCTTTGGGAAGCTCCGAATTAACATGAGAGCTATTGAGAGCCTCGTCTGCAGCTTCTACTTCAGGAACATTAGATGCCGCGTTTGCTTGCTCAAGCAAGGCTGCTGCTTTCATGGCAGCCCTCTTCTTGTAGTGAGCCTCAAAATATGCTTTTTTCTGGGCAACAGAACCTGGCTTGGAAAACCGCTCAACTTCTTCCAAGTAGCGATTGTGACTAAAGGTTGACCACTTCTCCCAAGCCAAAGATTCTGACATAAATCTCCCGAATGAGATTGATTCGGTCAGCGCTCGAATTGGATTGTCCTGAAACTCAAAAATGAATTCCATGTTTGCTCAATGATTTGCTTTGATGTTAACTTACTATTGTCATCCATTTCAAACTGATGATATACATAAAACAATTAACACGGAAATGCAAAGAAACTCCAAAGACTCGCTCAGTTTGTCATTAATAAAAAAAAAAAAAGCCATAATCTTGAAGATATGAAGGCCAGACAAATCATGCTCAAGTCTCAAATAAATTTTAACAATAGAAAGTAAAAAGGCAATGCGAAATGGCAAAAAACATCAATACAAAAGATGTCCAAAAACGAAAGGTAACAAGAGCCAATCCTTGGTGCATTTAATGCAATTTTCCTGAAAATATTAGCTGTTCAGTAAAATAAAAGAGACAGCTTAAATTATTTTCCTTTCAAGAGTTCATTCAAAGCTTTGAGCATAATCAAGAACAGCAGAAATCAACTAAATAAGAAACGAGTGAATCCTCGAAGCATTATGGTCTGTTTGTTTGCTCAGAAAGAAAACAAAAACGAGCAACAGAATCCCACAACAGCCTTTTTTCCATTTCACAAAAAACCCCATTCATTATTCTTTAAAGATGTTTCAATATCACAGGCAAGATCACAACAACTGAAGCAAAACCCACAAAATATTACCAAATAACACGAAGAGTTTTAAACTGCAGAACATCATAAGACAAGAAATGAAATAATATATGAACAAAAAGAAGTTTGAAGGACTAACCTCTCTGGCTTCTCTGGAAGCACTAGATGGATGAGAAAAGGATCTCAAAAGACAAGCTGATTCTCCCATTTCTTCTTCTTTGCCTATACAGAGAAAGTAAATCCTACCAGCAAAAATATTCTTTTTTAATTCAAAACCCTTCTCTACTGACAGCAGGTATTTAAGAGCTTTGCCAGAAGAGTCTGTCGTAGTCTCCCTTTAAATTTTGAAAACTAGACTCTATGCTCAAATGGGTCCATTCCAATATTTCAAGCAAGAAAGGCAAATTGGGTGAGTAAGAGTAAGAGGCAATCAGTTCTTCGCAGAGAAAGGAGACTTTTTTTCCAGAGTCAGTGAGAAAAGGGGGATGAATCTCTCTTCTTTGTTTTTGTGTGTCTGAATCTTGTTTGTTTGATTGATAGATTTCTTTTCCTTCCATTAGATTACATCCGAAGTATGGAGCTGGGCCCTCCCTTAATACAACTCATAACGGCTACTTTCTTTTTTAAAAAAAAAATTATTGATTTCTATTGCGATATAGATTTTTCTGTTTATTTAGTACTGTGATTGAATTATTTTTTATTTAAAATATATTAAAGTTATTTTTTTATTTTTAAAAAATTTATTTGATTTATACACATCAAAAAACAATATAAAAATATTTAAAATATTAATTGATATAAAAATATTTAAAAAATTAATTCTTTTTAAAAAAACTTAAAAAAACAAATGAATTCTAACTCATTAATTTGTTATCAAGATTTTGATTTGAAATAGTTTTAATTTTTTAAATTAAATTTTTATTATTAAAATAATATTATTTTAGAATTTAAATCATTCAAAATAATATTTTAATAAAAAATAAATTAAGTTAACTTGTAATCTAAACCTTAAATGTTATAATCAAGTTACTGTCTGAACTTAATAAATATAGATTTTTCTTGGTATCTATTATAAAAATAATAGGAAAAAAAAAAAACATGTTCAGTGACAGATGGAGGGAATCTTAGAGTAAGATTTTTTATTTTATTTTAATGTACGTAAAGTTGGCTATTTCGATGCTGATTGGTCCACAAATTTGAATTTGAACAAAGGAGGTAGACAAATCCAGTGTTTGTAATAGCGATTTAGCAACGGTTTTTGTCTCTAATTAATTACATAATTGCTGACATCTGCATGAGTCAAGGCTTATATTAAATGGACCATATGTTCTAACGAATTAAAATTAAAAGCCTAACTAGCTGTTTTCTTTCCATATTTTTAAATATTTCCCGAACGGTTAGGGATATTCTTTATTACTGAGATGTATTTCCTCATGAATAATTTCCATTCTGGAGGTATGATTTGAGAGTGTTGTTAAAATATAATTTTTTAGATTTTTATTTTTTAAAAAATAAATTTTAAATTAATATTTCTTAGTGTATTAATGTCAAAAATAAAATATAAAAAGATATTATTTTAATGAATTTTTAAATAAAAAATACTTTTAAAAAATAACAACTTCAAAAACAACATAAATCACCGTTTAACAATATCATGCATCGATGGATGATTACACAGGTATATCCATGTTGCCAAGCAAGCTCTAACATACACATTGATTTCCAAGTTATTTTTGAAAAATTATATTAAAAACTTGGCATATTACTTGGATCCCTCCATTGATATAGATTAAAAAACTAATTCTAAATAGATATTTGGATCGTAAAGTATCTTATCTTCATGAACGAAAACAACTTGATTGGTTCTTCGATGCTTATCATGGTGTTAGATCCAGTCTTTCTGGGCCATACTGTTTTTCCTGCCTTGAATCGAAATTATATGAAAAGGGATGAAATGATAGGATCCCTTTGTCGCCATAAAATGAAAAGGTTGATCTCGTAGTTTTTTTGTGGAGGTGCTTCGTTTTATTTTCCCATCAAAGCTGAATCGAAACCTGTACATTCTCGAAAAGAAGGGAGCCATGATGGTCCCAGGAGTTGCTTCTGCAATTATTTTCGGTGGAGCAACGCTAGATAAACGCTATGCATGGCCAGGTCTAGATTCAATCTTCTTGGATGGTGTTGGATTGTCATTTCTTATTTGCTTTATCAGTGATTATTCAAGGAGATTGGATCATCAGAGAATTGCTGCAACGATGGTTCAAAATCCAACACAGCCACCAAACAATCCATGAAAACAGCCACTGAAAACCTCCCACTCCCTACCGGAAAGATTGATTCACGTAAAGCTCGGATCATGGTTCGTGGGATGACCTAAATTTAATTTTTAAAAGAATAAAAAAGGTGGATATGGTTATAAATGGTTTGAGTTGTCGATGATCTAATTAAAATGAACTAGCTAGAGTTTTTTATAATGATTGCATGGAATTTTGATTGTTAATCTTAATCTAGATACTTTAAATCAACTTTTTACAAATCAACTTTTTCTTTTTCTTTTTTATTTCAATGATATGTGGGTCACGATTAATTTGACCTACCATAGGGTTTAACCCAAAATCACATGTCTGCTATCTCCTTTAGGGTAGGAATGAAAAGAGTTAAATCACTAATTGTTTTTGTATAACTATGAAATATGAGGGTGTATATTTACAAATTTTCTGATGGGTATATCGGCTAATGCATAAAATGTTGAAATAACTGTTTACACATATAAACAAATAAAAAGTTGGTTTAAATGTGTGAAAATATTATTTCTAATGTGTTTATTTGTTCAATACAAAGATAATATCTCTATGATATAATTAATTTTTTTAAACTCTAAATAAATTAAAAAAACTAAAAAGAGAATCATGTTTGTTTTTCTATGTACGTGTTCTATATATAGTAACATGTTTATTACACTTCAAATATCATAATAAAATATTATGTTTGTTAATATTATAAATGTGTTAATAAAATGATTATATTTATGTACGTGTTTTCTATATAATAACATATTTATTTGACTTATCATAACAAAAACGTTATAAAAATTAATAAAATAATTATATTTTAAATTAAATAGTAACAAATAACAAAATTAATTACAAAAATTAAAGAAATAAACTCAAAAAACAAATAAAATCACTCACATATTAAGTATTAAGTGCCATATTTTAATGTTATAAATATCAATATAATAATACTAAACAATTCACTAGAAAGGCTCATACACCATTTCTTTTGTTGTTGCTGAGTGGAATTTTAGTTAGTAAGATTTGGGTATTCTTTTGGGAAACTAATCCTCTTTGAGTTTTATTATATTCATTATTTTTATTTAAATTACTTAAGAATGAAATTGATATTTACACTATTTCCCTTTACTATATTACCAACATAACTAGACAAAGGGAGGAAATGAAAATTGTGGGAGCTTATTGAAACAAACCAAGATTTTGAAGTGACAGTGGAAAATTTAATGGAAGCTTATCCCATCAAGAAAATTAAAATTAGAATTCATAAACTATTCAATCGTTTTTGGTCGGAGCCTTAGATGATGCAATCCATAAACTGTAAGTTCCTCTCTTCTTTAATGGAAGCCATGGTATCTGAACCAGCCATTGCTTCTCTGAAGGCGCTTGCTCTGTCAATTTTCAGGTTGTAATGTGTCTGAAACTTTGCATAATTTGTTCTTCACAGCTCAAGCTTGTTGCATAACTTGAATTCGAGAATTAACCATGTGATCCAAACTCCTTTTCAGATTTGATCTCAGGTTTGATAGCCATGGGTAGCATAGCAATTAGATTTTCCTACCGCTCCAGATTTCTTCATAAAACCCTTGTTTGCTGGGATCATGGGCCAATGTCGCTGGTTCTCTTTGATGGTGACATGAGTGGACCGTTCGATGGACTAGGCTGCCTGGTAGGAAAATGATGGCTTGTCTTAAGGTTTTTGGAGATGCAACGACCTGTCATTTCCCATTGACATTAAATAAGTGACAACAGAACCACCACTTGTGGCTAGTTTATAATCACACAAGGGACACCTTAACCTCTTCCCTTTGTTTAATAATGTCTACCCGAAAAAAACGACAACGCAACCTCTTTTGTTTCTATTTCCTATGGACTGGCTTCTGATAAAACCATGGGACAGTTTCTCCGTCGAGCTCGGTATAGCCATGATAAAACCATGGGACAGTTTCTCCGTCGGGCTCGGTATAGCCAAGGAATATAAGGGTGGTTGTGACAAAATGGGTTGGAAGATTGGATGGCTAGAAGAATTTCAAGAATTTTGTCAAATTATGGTTAAAAAGGAAAAGAAAAGAAAGGATTTCTTTATTTTGACTTCCCGATAAATAAAATAAACCTATAAAATTAACGATAATTGGTTCTAGTAGTTTAATAATTGTTGCATAATAGGTTGAAAGATTGGATAGCAAAAAGAAATTGCAAGAATTTTGTATTAAAAGGTAAAAAAAAAATACCTTTTATTTTGGGCTTACAACAAACATAATAAAAAAAATAAAAAGAATTTCAAATGGTTTGACATTTATTTTTCTTTATAAAAAATAAAATACACCATCATTGGAAGAGTTTGAACTTTATAAATAGAGTATTTTATTGCTAGAATTTATTTTTTTATAAAAAATAAAGTACACCATCGCTAGAAGAGTTTAAATTTTATAAATAGAATATATTATTATTAGAAAGTTTTACTCTGAACAGACTTTTAAGTACTGGTATATATAAAACAAAAATAAATAAAAAAACCTAAAGAAAAGGATTCGACAGGAAAATGCTAAGGATCTTGTGTGCGCATCATCTCATCCAAGACTAACTTCTCACAATGCATATAAATATTTCCAAGATCGGGTATAAAGAAGGGATGTACATCATGCACATTCATCTTGATTTGTAAAGAATGCCTCCAAATGCTCATAACCTAGATAGATATTATACATGTAATTACATGCCACCTCACATGAAAGCTGAAATGATGTACATTGATCCACACTCATTGATGATGAAAAGAAATATCTAGCTATTCCAGATTACTGAAGCTGAGGCCATCCCATGAGAGCAAAGAATCCACATAAGCATCAATCCAGTAAGATTCAGAAGAACTTTCTTGTAAGACATATTCATCCATTGATCTTGATAAACACGAATCGGATTGCAGGTCAGTGAGCGAGGGAAAAGTTGACCACCCTGCATCGGAATCTTCTCTCAAAGCTTTACTGGTATTGTGGGCAGAGCAAGGATGGTCGTGGTCAAGCCTAGTTTCTACCTTTGAGACTGGATTTTCTAGTAAATTCTGGTCTACGTTAATGTTGCCCACTACTTCTTTCATAGCTGCAAATGTGCTTTCTTTTGCATCGCAGTTGGTCTCAGCCTGCTCAACCGGTGGCTCGTGGCCTTGTGGGTCTAGACCTAGGGGCTTTAGCTTCTTCTTAATTCTTGTGTTCCAATGGTTCTTGATCTCATTATCTGTACGGCCTGGGAAAAATGCAGCAATCTTGGACCACCTGTGTTTTTAAAAAGAAGTGATATCAATATTGTATTTAAGACAACATGAATTAATTCATCGGGAAGCTATATCTCCTGATCATTACTCACTTGAAAAACAAAGAAAAATGAACACAGAAATTAAGTAAGATGTTACAATAGCATGCAGAACCTGTTGCCCAAACGTGAATGAAGCTCAACCAGGTGATCTTCTTCGGCTTCTGAAAATGCACCTCTCTTGAGATCAGGCCTCAAATAATTCATCCACCTTAATCTACAACTCTTCCCGCACCTCAGCAAGCCTAGATATGCACTTCCGAGTTGTGTTAATTTCGATTATAGCAAATGTAAGGAAAACCAATGGATCATGACCATGACATATGTACCTGCAAGTTTAGGAACATGTCGCCAGCATTTTATCCCGTTACTGAGGATGAAGTTCATGAGCTTTTGATCCTCTTCGACACTCCATGTGCCTCTCTTCAATCCAACCTTGTCACAACAAGGTCTCCTTCCCATCGTACTTGCAGTGGACAATAAAACTACAAGAACATACCACTGCAATGGAGTTTGATCATTGAAGAGAATGCAGGGCCATAGCCCATAAGCCTATTATATATAAAGTCAAGCCAAGAACACAAGGACACCATGAAGAATTAGTTTACTAATTGCTTTATGAAACAAATGATTCGAGTTAGTAAAAACAATGTTAACAAACAATTGCAAGTGTCAGACACCTAATTACCATTATTAGAATAATAGATAGGTCTTGAGAGAAAGCAGATTGAGGCAAAGGGATTCAAACCGACGTGTGGGTCATTGCCATTTTAATAATTTTTTTCATCGGCACGCTAAGCACTTATCGAGTCTCTGATTAAAAAAGAAATGCATTGCCATGTATGAAAGATTCCTTGCTCTTCTTTTTGCTTGTCCAGCTTCATATATGGGGCGCAACTCTCCTTTCCCCCACTCGAGGGCATGTCTTCCACGTTACAATTTTCTAGGAAATGCTAGCCTTTCCAGCCCCACTTCTTTTCCACGACGAACACCCACACACGCACATATGTTTGTTTGTTTCGCTGTGATCTTGTTTTGTTCAATTTTGATTCAGGTACACTGTCTCTTTCACTTTGTTGATAAAATTAAGAAAAAGTTTATACGAGGTTAATTGTATGCTTCATCCCTTTACTGCTAACAATTTCTCAATATGGTTCTTCTTTTATTTTTATCAAGTCCACCCCTACATTGGTAGCGATGGACTTAATAAAAAGTAAAAGGATATTTATAGAAAAAACTTAGTCGCTATTTTTAATATTTTAAATTTTTATATCCTTATATCTTTTAGATATATAGAATTCCTTCAAAAAACTATTATATTTTTATCAAACATATGTAAAAAAAAACTTATCTTTTATTAAATAATATTAGAAAAATATTACACTTTAACACTTTTCTTTATAAAAGAATTAAACTTATTGGTTATAAGAATCTGTTTATAAGTATAGTTGCTGTTATTTTTGAAATTATTTTTTATTTGAAAATATCAAAATGATTTTTTTTTTATTTTTTTCAAAATCATATTTTTTAAATTATTTTTTACTTGAAAATACATCAAAATGATTTTTTTTTATTTTTTTCAAAATCATACTAAAAAAATATTAATTTAAAGCAAAGAAAAAAATAAAATAAATTTAATTTTTTTCAAAATTACTTTTGAAATGTAAAAACAAACAAGATCTAAATATACCATGAGAGCTTCAGAATAAACATTCATAATCTTTATTTTTTATTACATGTTTATTTTTAAAGTATTGTTTTTAGAATATTATTATTTAAAAAAAATATTTATTTAAGTATCAAACAATCCTCACTTTTATCAAATATGATTTTTTATCGATATTAGTTATAAGTCATGTTGGCCTAGTAAAAATCAAGTATAAGTTATCAATTATCTTCAAGGATGAGAATTGATAAAATTACTAGGACCAATTAATTAATCAATATCCAACTCAAAAGTTATATACCTTGAATAATTGGATTTTTAAGAATTCATCAACTTGCTTTTTGAAACAATAATATTATGGCTTCTTGAACTTCAAAAATTATAGTTTGAAAATGAAAAACAGAATCTTTAAACCTTAAGTAATAGTTATTAATTTACTGTAAAGAAAATTGTACAAAATTCTAAAAATCTTTAGCTCATAAATTTTATTAAAGAAAAAACATATCAATTATTTGTACAGAGGTAAAATTGACATGGTAAAACAATCCAAAACTCAGTAAAAAATAATTAAAATATGACATTAACAAAGAATTTAACTAAAACAGCAAAAAACAATATTCTTAACCCTAATTTGAGGGTCTTCCTCACCTCTCGGCTGGTTACATCTAAATTAACCCTTTATAAAACTAGTTTTACAAAGCCTCTAATCAAATTTGGTTGAATAAAAGTTATGGGTTTTTTGTGGTAGACTCCATGTTTGGCTAGTTCAAGCTTCCTCGAGGGCCTTGTCTCGCCTATGTAGTCTATAAACAAATCCGCGCAAACGTTTCAACTATCTTCTCTCCCTTATTTGCACGTCAAATTGATCTCTCATGTCATATTCCAGTGAATTTAACCCGATGGAGGGTTAACTATCTGTGTTACCCTTGAAAAACTACAGTACTCAAGTAAAGCTTATACGTAAATTCATTTAGTTCTTCAGCTGTGTAGGTCAGAAAATGAAACCGTAGATAAGAGGAAATATGAAAATGCAATGCCTTAGAGGCTCCTCTGCACGCTCAAAGACTTACAGTCACCTGTGTCTCTATGCACACATAATTAACGCCTTAAATACTGTCAATATGCTAGCTTGGGCCACATATCAACACGTACAGGTCATATAGAGCAATTTTCTGGAGGAATATTAGGGTTTCTAAGAACTATTTACATTTCTGCAAAAAGTTTATAAATCCTCCAGTAATTCCCTTCCTCCTTTCCTGTAAGTAATATAGAACCAACTGATGACAGCAGGACGGAGAATGTTTCAAGGTTGATACAGTTCTTGGGTTGGTGGCTTAGTTTTTTCTTATTTTATGAGCTATTTATCCAATATATTTGAATTTATTATCTTTACGAGATTCTTAGATCAATTCACGGAATGAGTTATGTAATTTAATGTATATTAAAGTATAAATTTATTATTATATACAGATCATGCAATTGGGTTCGATAAATTGAATTAAAAATCCTATACGAATAATGTATTATAAATCTAAAGTTAAAGATACGAAGAATAATTGAAGAACATCAGCAAACCAATCGATAACAGTAAGATGAAGAACATAGAGAAGGTGGGCTTTTCCAGCCCAACAGCATCTAGCCTAGACGGCCTAAAACAAGCATTATTCGAATAACGACAAGAAAATAATAATAATAAAATAAAAATGAAAAAGGTTTGGGTCATCCTCACTCACGCTCGGCATGTCAATCTTGTCAGCAAGAATCTAGTGAAACTTATCCTCCAAGACCCCACGTACCACAAGGCATATTAAAATATTTTTACGCACTTGAGGTTGTGGTTCAGTTGGGGATGGAACCTGTTTTTTGTTTTTGTACTTAGTTTGATTATTTCTTTAATGTATATTTGTTATTCTCATGATATTTCACTTGTTTACTGAATTTATAGAATATTTAATAAATTTAAGAATTAATCATAATAAATATAAAATGATTTGGAGATCCTGGATTATATAACAAAAATAATGATATTGATAGCAATTTAAAATATTTTTTATTTTAAAATATATTAAAATAATTTTATTTTTAATTTTAAAAAATAATTTTTATATCAATTGTATCAAAAAAATTTAAAAATATAAAAAATTTTATTTAAATAAAAGAATATAAATTTAAAAAAAAATAATCGAAACCGATTTAAAAATATAAAAAAATTTATTTAAATAAAAGAATATAAATTTTAAAAAAAATAATCGAAACCGTGTTTCTATGAAGCTATGTTTTATAAATATTTTCTAGATTTGAAAATGTAATTTTTTTTAAAATATTATAAATTACAGTATTTTTATAAATATTTTTTATATTACTACATCAAAATAATTTAAAAATATTTTATTTTAAGTAAAATAATTTCAAATTTTAAAGAAATGTAATTTCGAAACCGTGTTTTCAAAAACTCTCCTAATAAAGCTCGTTTTATAAACATTTCCTTGGTTTGAAAATGTAAATTATTTGAAAAAATTATAAATTACAGTTTTTTAATCAAGATTTTATTGAAAATTCTTATTCGTATAAAACTATGAAATATATTAATTAATTAAATATCTTTAAGAATACAGAACGAACAAAATTGAATTTTAACTCGACGCTTCGCATTTCAGAATAGATCCAAGGAGGAGACGCCTCCTCCCTCTCCCTTGTCTCCACGCCAACAAAATATCTCTTCTTTATGGATAAGCCTTTGATGTGAGTGTTCTTACAATTCCACCTCAGCTTTTAAATAATTCAATTACTATTACATGTCAGTGTTGAGTTTCGGCATCAGAGCTTAAGATGGCGACGGAAGGACAGCCCACAGATTTTTAAGCCAATCAGCGATTCCATCTTGTACCTGAGAGGTTGCCCTACCCGCCAATACCCTTTAAGAAAAAAAAATTCAAGAAAGTTTCCGGTACAGCTCTCCGATTGTTGTTTAACAATATTTTTAATGTTTTTTTTAATGATTTTAATATATTATATAAAAGAATCCAAAGAAACCCTAGTTTAATATATTATTTAAATAAAAAATTATTTTAAAAAATATCGTCCACTACACCAATCCACGTAGATCTAAGCTCACCATCCCCACTCGATCCATGTCTGCCCCCTTTAGAGCTAAGGCATTAATTTTTTTCTGGTTTACATTTTAGTCCCTAAGTTTTGGGAAAGTTGTTTGGGTCCTTATAACTAATATGTTATTACAAATAAGTCCTCAAACTAGATTTTTTATCCTCGTAGCAATTGTTTTATGAAGGATTCTAACAAGTTATTCAACTAGGCAATCGAACGTATTTAGAGATATATAAAATTGATATAAACAATTGTTTCTAATGCAAAATTGGCTCTACCGAAATAGTTTTGGATTTGATTGTAGAGGTTTGCCCTATTTTATTTTGTTTTAGAGACATAAAGCCAAACGAGTGAGGTACTTGGGTTGGCGGCTTGCCTTTACACATCACATCACTTGTGCTTCTCCAGTAAAGTACTGAAAGATACTTTACAAAAATATTTTTTTTATTTAAAAATATATTAAAATAATTTTAATATTAATGTATTAAAATTATTGAAAAATACTAAAAAAATAATTTAATATTTTTCAAGTCTTTTATTTTGATAGTAATATATTAAAATCATAAAAAAGATTAAAAATACATTAACTTGATATTTCTTAAAAATAAATGTATTTTTAAAATATATGCAAATGCAATTAATAAAACAATACAAAATATGTATTTTATTTAAGTAATGTTTAAGATTATAGTAGTGATTATTTGTAAAGTATTTTTATTTAAAATTATATCAAAATAATATATTTATTTTAATATTACTATATTAAAATCATAAAAAATACTAGAAAAAAAATATTAACCTAATATTTTTTTCAAAATAAATGCGTTTTTAAAACATATTCAAATATAATTAATAACACAATACCAACCATGCAATTTATTTAGATAACATTTGACATTATAGTAAAGTTTTTACTTAAAATTATATCAAAATATTTTTTTTATATCAATGCATTTAAATAATCCATTATAAAAAGTTTTAAAAAATAAAAAGTTATTATATTACATGTGCTCAATAGGTTTTTTAATTAAAATCTCAACACAGTTTTTTTATAGAATCTATGCGAAATTATGTCCGAACATTTTTCACAGTTTCAACCGTATCTAGACAACCCTTGCCTGATACGGGCAGCCGGATTTGGAGCTGTGTGGCTTGCTGGAGCGCAGTAGTATCAAACTGACGAAATAGCTGTCTGTTTCACGGCAGCTTCTCTTTATTGTCATCACATACACAGACTCTTCGACCAACAACAGCGATTGATTCTAGCCTACCACTCATCTTCCTCCATTCATTTATATAAACTACAAGTTTCCCGATATTTTCCATCTCTCTCCCCGACAGCGACAACACCACTAGTGGTAGTGCTGTTTGCTTTGCTCTTTTTTCCCCTTCACTCGCTGCTCTTCTGCTCGGGAAATCTCACAAGACAGGACTTACGTTGGCTTGGCTTTAACTTGGTTCTACTGATCTGAAATCTGTGTGCTCTCTTTCTCTGCCTGGTCTCAAAAATCCTAAAACAAAATCCCACATGGGATTGGGGCTGATCGGCAAAGCAAGGTGGATAAAGAAGAAGATTTTCAAGTCCCAACAATCAATATGGAATCACAATTGGCTCGAATTGAGCAATCCCTCAACGCCACATACTCTGTCTGGGTGCGAGAAGCTCTCGATGAATTGCATCACAATTTCACCATCACTGACCCCACCATTTCGGGTCACCCTATCGTGTTTGCAAGCCCTGGGTTCCTTAAAATGTCGGGTTTTTCGAGAGAGGAAGTGTTAGGGAACAACGGCAGGATATTTCAAGGCCCCAAGACTAACAGAAAGACAGTTATGGAGATCCGCGAGGCAATTCGCGAGGAGAGGGCGATGCGGGTTCATTTGTTGAATTATCGGAAAGATGGGACGCCCTTTTGGATGTTGTTTCAGATGAGCCCTGTTTTTAGCAAGGAGGATGGCGGCGTCGCTCATTTCATTGGGGTTCAGGTGCCTATACGAAGAAACGAAAAATTAACTGATGATGGAGCTGATGCTGCTTGGAACGAGATTGCCTTTGGTTCCTGCAGGAGAGAGGTTTGCTCTGATTCTTTGGTGGAACTGACACGCGTTTTGGCACTGCATACGGATACCACTTGTAAAGGTTTGTTTTTGAACAATTCATTTCAGTTTTATGAAGGTGATTTTCCACAGTTTTGGTCTGTTAGTCCTGTTTTTGTGCAATTCATTTCAGTTTTATGAAGATGATTTTCCACAGTTTTCGTCTGTGAGTCTTGTTTCTTGGACTTTAAGGCTTTGCACTGCTTGGGCTCTATAGTCTCTTTTAGCTTTGCCTTTACTGCAATTTTGATTAATAATCATCGTTCTTATTGCTTGCCCTGCAATTTTCTTGTTCAGGTTATCTAGCTTCCTTGATTTGGTTCTAATCCGGACTCTTCTCACTAGTAACTTCTGGTTCTGGCTTGGCTAACATTGTATTAGTCTCGATTTATAGGAGTAAAGATTGAAGAGTCATGCGAGGCAAGCGAACTAGAGAAGCAAAGAGCTGCAACTGCCATTAATAACATCTTGTCCGTGCTAACCCACTATAGTGAGTCGACTGGCAGAATAGTGTGTGGAAAAAGGTGCAGCTTACCGGCGGCTGGCCTCATTAATTCATCTTTAAATATATCTCTTGGTAGAATCAAGCAAAGCTTTGTATTGTGAGTTGTTGCCAATTCCTAATACGTCTATGAGTAGGAAATGTCTACATGAAGATTTCTAATCTCTTTGTTTGTGTTCCTGCGCAGGATAGATCCACACTTGCCTAACATGCCTGTAGTTTACGCAAGTGATGCCTTCTTAAAACTGACAGGTTCTCAAATTTTATGAGATCCATATTTATGACATGCACGCGCACCATTTTTCAAGCATAAACATCTGAACAACACAGGTCATGCAGGCACTTACGTCGCTTCTTTCCTTCTATAGGTTATGATAGACATGAAGTGTTAGGACGTGATTGGAATTTTCTCAATGGAGTTGATACAGATTCCTCAATTTTGCATCAGGTATGAACTTCTTTCATATACTTGATGATATGGAATAGAGGTTCCTAATATAAGCTTGGCAACAGGAGAAGGGTTGGAGAAACATATGCCTGTATTAGCAAAGCCATCTGTACAAGAGTGTGTACATGGGTATATATAATCCAGGATGTGAAACATACGAGGAAAGAAAATGATCATAAATAATTAATATTATCTCACAATGAAACTGGGCTGAATTCCAGCTAAGATCTTACTCTTAACAATTGCATTGACTGAAAAGTTTTGATTTTGCAAACTGTCCTCCAGATACAGGAAAGCTTTCAGGTTGAGCAACCATGCACAGTATGTATCTTAAATTACAGGTTCGCACTTGACTATTCTTTCAATGTGTTTGGGAGGAACTGAATTTTGTGATTGATTCTAACTACTAGTTTTTTTTCTTCAATAATAGGAAAGACAAGAGTACATTTTGGAATCTTCTTCACATGTCACCTGTTCGGAATGCTACTGGAAAGGTACTTTTAAGTGAACAATTCACCCGATCTCTTGTAATCTTTCTTGATGTATGCATGTACAAATATTACTAAGATATGTTGAACTTAACTATCAAAATTCCTTTGATAAAGCTTAGTCCTAACGTATCTTACTTTCTCTAAAGAAGACCTATCACCTTATTCCTTATTCTTCCTCTAGTCAGTGGCTGTCTTTAGACATGCTGATGGGAATTAATCCAGCATCAAGGTGAGGAAAAGAAAAAAAGAAAAAGAAAGAAGAAAAACAGTATATCTAGCAAAAGCAGGTTGAAATAAGCACTAAGCATGCAACATGGATTGATGCTTATATGGTATTCCTAACCCCGCTCTACCAGCTGACTGTATCTCCAAGCTCTTTGAGAATCTTTTCTGTTTTATGTGTGCCTGCAATACCTTAAAAATAGATATGTACGCATTTTACCTACAACTGGAATCTTACTCCACTGAATGCATCCTCTCTCCTAGTTTTATGATTAAGCAGGATCTAAGCTTCTGTCTTTATGGTAGTAGAGGAGATGTACTATAGATGATAACCTGTAAAAAGATTTTTTTTTTTAAAGAATCGCTAACAGTTTTCACAATATATATCTTGTGGGTACAGACTGGCCCTCGCAAATTTTAGATCATGATTCTTGGTTATACGGTTAGGTCTTGAACATGGTGAAAGATATAAGGGCATCAAATAGTAGATCAGGTTAGAGGAAAACAATGGAAAAGATAGGCTCAGACAACTGTTTCATAAATGATCGCTTCCTTTGCTAAAGGAAACTATAATCCTTTTTGGAAAATTGAGTTCGTTCTAGATTTTGAGTTGTCGATAAATACTCTGGCCATGTTTTTGACCCACTTGCATTGATTGGGCTTTCATACATTTTTGTTTCATATATGATTCATAGTTAATGGCAAAATTGCGCATTCCAGCAGATGCCAGAGCAAAATTTGAATATCGAATGCTAAGTTTGTAGGCTTGTTTTCTAGGTGTAAAATTCAAAAGGCTACAAGTGTGAGCTACTTATGCATACTAGTTTCTTGCAAGTAGTTAAGGTTGCCCAAACTTGTAATTGATTAGCAAACAGAGTGAGGAATATTTCTTGGACTGCAGATAATTGTCACCTCCGTTTTATTTTCTTCATAATATGAATGGCAGAGCCTGCATGACCTACGTCATTCTTCATTCTTGTTTTGCTGTAGTACTTTATTTTGTTTGTTTTTCCCCCGCTTCCATCAATCAGTATCCAAGCTTTAGAAGAAAAAAAGCCTGAACGCTTCATGCAACGTCTATCTCACTGTGCTTATCGATGTTCAGATAGCATACTTTGTGGGTGTTCAGATGGAAGAAAAATGCAAGAGCCAGGACAGACGTGGGCTAAGCCCTGAGATAAGGCAGCTTGGTGCTGTTGGTGCAGTCAGGGTAGCTGTAAGGAGCTTATCGATAGGTGCTAGCTGCTCCAAGTCATCAGATGGTTTCAATAATCTTTGAAGCTGATTGTTACATGGTCCATCTTTTTTAGTTTATAATTCCCTGTAAAATCTGGCTGTATATAATGAAATTAGGGCAATAACTTGAGGCACTGGTGGACGTTTTTGGATGTATGCAAATGATTCCTTTATGTGAAAGATCTTGAAAAGTGCATCAGTTGCGGACATGGTGATGCTGCTTTAATGAAATTAGGGCAATACTCGATGCCGCCTTAATGCTGTCTTCTGTATCTCCTTCTCGTCTTAGCAGAGAAAAAAAAGGAGAACAGAGGCGATTCAATGGCGGAGCTGGAACAATATTTTTTTGGGGGGCGGACTACAAACTCAAAATATATGATCACAAAATTACAATATACAACTTAATAATTGAAAAATCTGAACATAGAAATTATAGAATAAGCTTAGTTTTTTTTCCTAGATAAAGAGGCTTAAAATCTCAAGAAAAAGATTTGTTCAAGTGAATAATGAAAAAAATGCTCCATGTATAAAAAAGTTCCATACAATTTCACAATGAACAAAACTATCAGTTTCTTTCTTGTATTGAAGTTAGGTTTAAATGGCTAAAAATCTTTACCAATATTTTAAATAATATAAGAAAATTTCAAAACATGAAGTGAATAAATAAAACTAACAAGTGATCTATAACTGAAGATGAGTCATCCGAATGAAAAAGGATGTTTTTGTTGCTATACACTGCAGCATTGTGAGACGATGCCTTACTTTTTAGTTATGAAAAGTATTAAAAAATAATATAAATTATATTTTAAAATTTTATTTAACAGTTTAGTTTAAATTATTAAGTTAAAATAATTACTTTAAAATTTTATTTAACAGTTTAGTTTAAGTTATTGAGTTGAAATAGTTACTTAATATAATATTAAAATTTTAATAACTAAGTAATCATAAATTTAAATTTTATTATTTTTATTTATTTGATAAAAATCAAGTACAATGTGATATAAATTTATGCAAATTTTATTTTAAAAAATATATTAAAAAATAATATAAATTATATCTTAAGGTATTATCTAAATATAGTGAAAAAAAAATCTAGAAAAGATGGTTAAGTTTGGAAAATAGGCAGCAGATATAGAGCAGTCAAATTACATTACACTCTTTTGAATCTACTATGTAGGGTTTTTTATTTTTTTACTGTGCTCGCGGAATATCAAATATGCAGTAACTGGGACATCTGCTGATACACAGACATGATCAATAGACAAAATGACCGGCCAATCAGTAGCTCTTATTCTGCAATATTGCCTAATTCAGTCGTGATGATCTGCATGCACAGCTATAAAATGCTCAGCAGAACTGGTACCGGGCATGCTATCTTAAATTACTAATTAAACAACCTTGCACCATAACAATCGATGTGGACAACATACCATTACCAGCTAGGCACCAGCAAGGCAATACCTGCATCTTAGGTGCAGGAAGCTTGCGTAAAAGTAACTGGACTACCATTACCAGCTAGGCACCAGCAAGGCAATACCTGCATCTTAAGTGCAGGAAGCTTGCATAAAAGTAACTGGACTCGAATGTGTAACCTCGAATATGATCCGAAGAGAGCAATACGAGAATTCATCAGATTTCCAATCATCCTATGTGCACAGCATATGTATTAGCATTGCATGTAGAGCCAAACAAAAGAATGTTCCTCGATCTTTTGATTCTTTGAAGAAAAAACAGATGAAGGCGTGATAGATACAAGAAAGAGTAGAAAACATTCACCCTTATGGCCACACACTGGAGAAAACTGTGAAGCGAAAACACTGGCACGTTGAGTTTTCAGCACTAAGCAATTGTGGAAGGTTCGGAGAGAACCAAAAGCATTTAGAGGACAGCAGCAAAATAGAATGATAGAAATCAAAAGCTGCATTCCCCTTCAAGCAGATTAATGATAGTAGCAACTTTTAGACATTGTCCATAGCAGTATACACTCAGAAAACTTGTGCTAGATACAAGAGGGGGGTCAGAAGTTTTAAAAAAAAATGGCAACACAAAAGAAATGAAGTTCGAAAGGAAGCGATGCTTAGGAACGTGTTTTGCAAAGAAAACACCACCGGAGTTTGATTTGTGATGCAGAACTGGAAGGAGCGCAGAACAAGGTAACTCCAAAGACAGCAGGAAGGAAACAGCGTACAGAGATAATACCAAAGCCCTATGATCATCTTCAGAGATAGAGAAGGCCAACAAATCCAGGAAGACAAGAGGCGTGGCAAGAAACTGGTATCAAGGTAACACTGCAGTGCTACTGTTTACATGCAAGTGGCCTGCAAATGGGGTGGAAAAGTACTGTTCCTGGTATATCTATGAATAAAATTCTCATCAATATCCAAGCGAGTGCTACTCTCAGACAAACAATGACTTTACAATAAGAGAGAAAACCCCTTTTCCTAAATACAGATCTTGAGAAATGGAATAGAGCCAGAAGCTAATCCTCAGTATACAACAATGCTGCTTATCTCCAGAGGGGAAAAAGAAAAAGGATAGGAAAAGAAGCAGAAGATCATAAAGAAGATGACCCCGTATCTATTGCACAGCTCTTTCCCCTTCCAGCTCACTTTCTTCTTTTCAGCTCCATTCAATAAGAAAACTCATGGCCTCTGAGTGATATGTACTTCTTGACCCATATAGAGACATCCTCTGCACATACCCGAGCCTGTGGTGTTTGGAGAAGCACATCAAGAGTAGCAAACTCATGCACACCATCCTTATAATCAAGAAGAGGTGCATCTACATTAACTTTCCGTAGTTCTTCTGAGTAGGCAATGGCTCGATCTCTCATAAAGTCATGCTCTGCCACAACTGTTAGGGTCGGGGGCATGCACTTAAGAGGTGGCTGCCTCCCAGCAATAAGAGGATTAGCAGCTTGGTGATCTAGGTTGAACTCTTCCTTTGGTAGAAAGAGTTTCCATGCCAACATGCACATGGTCTTATCATAGAAATATGAGCTTGCAAGCTTAATCTCAGAATGGGTGGGAGTGCTTCCGATGAAGAAAGGAAACATCAGGATTTGTGCCACCACCTTAACTGGATCCAACCGCTTCCCAGCCTCTACAGCCTCTCTTGCCACATAATCTGCTATGTTTGCACCAGAGCTCACCCCAAGTAATACACATCTGCTCTGGTACCAATACAAAGTCAGGGGAGACCACTTCATTAAAACAGAAGGAAAAGGACAGGCCTTGAAAAAATTTAAAGTGACCAAAACGAAGAGAGAACAGAAAACTACGTGCATGTATAATGATGGTGATATAATTAGAACCATGTAGCCAGAGTGATTTTCCTGAACCAGCATGATTGTGAACAACTTAAATTTGGTATAAAGATGGATTCGTCTAACAAACGACAATCAAATAGCTTCAAGAAACTCTTCTTACAATGAGAATGATACGACAAGCATCATCACGAGTTTTCGGTTCTTAGGGGAAATCCAGCCAAAAACACTTGGAAAATTTACATGTATTTCAGGTACAGAAGTAATATAGCCACTGGATCCATCCAATTGGACCAATACCATGTAATTTTCCCCTCTTCAATAAAATCAGATCCCCGTCGTACAACATGCTCCAATTTATAAGTTAGATCTACATTGTATCATGGAGCTATTTACAAATGATGGCAGCAGATCTTTTAACAATGCTATAATTAGATCACTCTCTCCTGTAAAACTCCCAATTCCCTTCAGCAATTTAACAAAACCACATCCCCTGTTCCGATTTCGTGTTGCCATACTCTCAAGCAACAAAACAACGCATAAAAAATATATGGATTAATAATTAATTAAATGAAATTCAAAGCATACCCATTTGCACACAATGAGTAATAGACAAGCAAACTCAATCTCCATAGGGTGAGAAAACAACAAAAAGAGTACCTGGAAGTATCTCCGTGAGCAGCCAACCAGGGCTCGACCATGGAAGCCCCAAAGCTATCAAATATATGGCTTTGAGCACCCAATCTCCCACAAAAAGCCAAATTAGCCTGCTTTGCTAACCAATTCAAAACCTTGAAACCATCTTCGAAAGCCCCAGGATACTTGGTCTCTGGTGCCAATCGATACCCAACAGCCACGACAATCACATCACACAATTTGGCTATTCTCCTGCAAAACGCATCGTTTCCTACCGACTCGTTGCTCCCGCTGACAAACCCGCCTCCGTGAAACTGCAACATCACCGGCAACTTCCGGTGAGATTTTCCTGCCGCCGGCGAATACCCACCGTAATTGGTAATTTGATAGGTAGAAGACAATGAGGAGGTGACAGCGGTATCGGGAAGGAAGATCCGGAGAGATAGAGAAGAGAACGGGTCGACATGTATGTCTTTGGTGGCGACACCGTCGGAAAACGATGGGTTACTAGCTGCGATGGATTCGCTGGGCCGAGAAGTTATGCCAAATGGATTGGCTTTGGTGGATTCAGGGGATTCGATGAGGCTTTGTAGCAGGTGTTTTTGTTGATATTTGAAGATGACACTGTAGAGTTTTACAATTAAGTTTGGCATCTCGACAGGTAGAGGAGAACGCCGGGATCTGGTTTTGCTGTTGATTAATGAAGATGGAGTTGAGGATGATGGTGTTGTTGGGAGAAGGGGATAAATGAATTTAAAGTCCTTCAAAGTTTGTTTTTATTTCTTTCAGTCCTTAAATCTTACTCAAGTTTTCTATTGAGTCCATCTCATAAAAGTTATAATTATAATCTTAAAACAAGTTATATGATGGAAGGGTCAGTCCAAAATTTCTTTTAAAAAAATAAAACATAAAACAATACTGTTTTAATTTTTTAAAAATAATATATTTATATTCTAATTTAACTATTATTATCACAATATCATACAAATTCTAAATTAAATTTTTATATGTACTTTTAAGGCTATTGTTAATTTTAATATGCTCTCTAAAATTTCCTTTATTTTTAGAAAAACTTTTTTTATGAAATTGTTTAAAAAGGATTTTTTTATAAAAAAAAAGCATTTAAAGATTTCGGAACCATATATATATATTAGTATTGTGTTTGCTTGCTATCTTGCAAAACACAAATAATGTGAATAATTTATATTTTTATTAATATTTGTGTAGTAGATGGTTCTTGTTCTTATTTCACGCTGATCATCATCCCACCACGCATGGGAAAAAGAAGGCTTCCAAGAAAGATGGCGCCATTCAATAACCATGTATCCAAGCATTCTCACGTTGAAAAATCAGTTGGTTTAATCGGTGGAATTACTGGTTTGGAGGGCGGCACCGTCTCAGAGATATCACATCACCGTATTTTTTAAAAATTTAATTTTTTATTTAATAATATTTTTTAAAATTTTAAATTATTTCAACATTTTAATATAAATTTAAAAAATAACTCATACTATATTTTCAAATATCTTTTAAAGGTTTATTTAAAAATAGAGTGTGCATCATATTTCTTTAAATTTTAAAATATTTTTATTAAAAATTATTTTTTTATCATTTTAGATTGATTTAATATACTAATATCAAAAATAATTTTTAAAAATTAAAAATATATAAAAATATAAGAAAAATAATTTAAAATTTTAATTTAAATTCATCCACTGACAACCGATCCTCGAAAACATTAGTGCAGAATCACGGGGGAAAATTTTTGAAACAGAGCACATGATCTTGACAGCCAAGCCACCGATCCTTTATCTCTTGATGTTCCCATTGTCCTAACTCAATTATGAGTTATTCCCCAAAAATTAATTTATTTTTTTAAAATAAAAATCAAATAAAGACTGACAATGTGGAAAAAGTAGGCCGTTATAAATTTTAATTTATTTTTAAATAAAAATTATATTCACTATCATAATTTCAAACATACCTAAACAAGATCCTTGAAAACAATGATTAAGAAAGAAAAGAATTAACCTATTTTTGGCAAGTGAAAAAATATAAGAAAAATAATTTAAAATTTTAATTTAAACTCATCCACTGACCATCGATCCTCGAAAACATTAGTGCAGAATCACGAGGGGGAAATTTTGAAACAAAGCACACGACCTTGACAGTCAGGCCATCGATCCTTTATCTCTTGATGTTCCCATTGTCATAACTCAATTATGGGTTATTTTTCAAAAATAAAAATCAAATAAAGATTGAAAACGTGGAGAAAGTAGGCCGGGAAGTCAAGCTATAATTTTTAAGTATAATTCAAGGCCTAATTGTATTTCTTTATGCCTAAAAATGGAGGAAACAATGCAAATTCAAGTTTAAAATTAAATGATTATTAGATAAATTTGTATAAACATTAAGTCCAAGGACATAATTAAATTTTTAATAGATCCTCGAAAACATTAGTGCAGAATCACGAGGGGGAAATTTTGAAACAAAGCACACGACCTTGACAGTCAGGCCATCGATCCTTTATCTCTTGATGTTCCCATTGTCATAACTCAATTATGGGTTATTTTTCAAAAATAAAAATCAAATAAAGATTGAAAACGTGGAGAAAGTAGGCCGGGAAGTCAAGCTATAATTTTTAAGTATAATTCAAGGCCTAATTGTATTTCTTTATGCCTAAAAATGGAGGAAACAATGCAAATTCAAAGTCAAAATTAAAATCCGAGACCAAGGACCATTATACAACAGACGGCAAACTATAGGGGCTCAATTAACAAAGACCGGGGGTAAAATTGAAGAAATTGAAAGTTTAATAATCAATCAGGGGTTCAATTGACAAAATCCGAGACCAAGGACCATATTGTAAAAGGCACCTAACCTTGGAGTTCCAATTGAAGTTCAAGAGGAGCTTAATTGCATTAAATCCAAAGTTTAGAGTCAATTAGGGTTCAATTGAAAGAAATTGAAAGAAAAATGACTAAATAGAAATTTAGTAAAAATTCTTATTTCAGTCTAAAACGGCATCGTTTTTATAAAAAAAAACAGAGAGAGAGAGGACCAGACGAAGCGTCGTCTGGTCACTGTTCATTATCTTCTTTATTTTTCCAAAAAAACTAGTCCGGACATCCCCTTTGCAAGTGCATTTAATGCACTTAACGTCCATCAAATTTGTCAAAACTTGCACGAAACTGATCACCAGATATCCCTCTACATCAGGGTATGGTCGGCGTCGGTTCATTAGCAAATAAACGGACGTGGCACCACCCCAAAGTGGCCAACTCAGGCAGCTTTTTCTGCAGAATTGACAACTCAGGTTGCCTACTTTGAGCCAACGGTTGGGATCCTTTCCAATTGAATCAAAGGCTGGAATTTATTCCCCTGTGTAGACAAGATTGTCCTCTTCCACCGCCTATAAATGGAGGCTCCGTTGATAACCTGAGGGAGAAGAAAATCGAATCCAAAGTTGGTCAAAAACTAGCCTTCTCTGCATAATTTTCCTGCAACAGCCTCTTTTTCTTCTTTCTCTCTCCGTCGTGGCTTATAGCCACCACCACCACCGTTCCCTATCTTCTGGACATCACCTCCACTTTCGGTAGCCTCCAAAACGTCACCTGTGTTGGTTGCACCGTCTCTCCCTCTCTCTCCCTTCTTGGTGATTTTTCTTCTTTCTTCTTCTTCGCCGCCAGCAGCCACCCCGGCGTCTCTCCACTGTTGCCACTACTTGCACCACATCGTCTTCCTCGGTCGAACCCCCTCGCGCCAAGTAATTTCTCTCTTCTTCTTCCTCCCCCTTCTTTCTTCACGCCACTGTGTGAACAGTAAGCGTGAATTATAATTCACGTCTTGTTGTTCAGGTAGTGGACGTTGGGTCGGGTCGTATCTGGCCCAGCCTAAAATGTTGGGCTAGGTCTGGCCCAGCCCTAAAGAAATAAATAAAAAATATTGGGTCGAGGCCGGCCCAACAATTTCGGGCCGAGACTGGCCTGATCTCTACTATGTTTGAGCTCAGCCCAGATTAACTGGTCGGCCCAGCCCATGTAGATTTTTTTTATTTTCTATTTTATTTATTATAATAATATACTATATTATAAAAAAAAAAAACAAAATAATCAAAAAAAATTTGAAAAGTCCTTTTGAAAAATTTATGATTTTCTCAAACATTTTTTTACCAATTTTGTATAATATCGAGTTGTATATTTATATTGTAAAATACAAATTCAGTATTAAAATACCAATTTTCTCTGGAAAAAAAAATTCAATTTTTTTTTGAAAAGTCCTCTTAAAAAATTTGTGATTTTTTCAAATATTTTTTTACCAATTTTACATAATATCGGGTTGTATATTTATATTGTAAAATACAAATTCGGTATTAAAATAACGATTTTCTCCAAAAAAAATTCAAAAAAAATTGAAAGTCCTTTTGAAAAATTTGTGATTTTCTCAAACATTTTTCTATCAATTTTACATAATATCAGGTTGTATATTTACATTGTAAAATACAAATCTGGTATTAAAATACTGATTTTCCCAAAAAAAAAACGTTTTTTTAGTTCTCCCTAGGATCCAGATGTAGAGTTTAATATTTGTGGGTGTAAAATTACATAATAAAGTACACCCCTCAGGTATTAAAGATACAAAGTGTAAATAAATATGATGTTAATATTCAGATTTTAGAACGATTAGGATTTAACCCAATAAGATAGAAACTCTCTCATGAAAAGAGATCTACTTTGAGCCTTAGAAAAGATCAACAAATAGAAACCTGACTTCAAAAACAATCAAACAATAATGCAGCTTACCATAAGTAGGGTGCATTGGAAATAATGCGTCTTCCCCTTGCACAATCAGTCCCTTACTCAGACTTTTGAAGACCATAGGTTCCTAATAACTTTAATACTAGATGGCGACTCCCAAAAATTAATCATAATTTTCTAACACACAACACCCCTTATCAGGAGGCACGACAAGAACCTTCGTCGTCGCCAAACGACACTCGCGCACCTCGCGACACCCATCTTGGCTAAATTAAGGGCCTGCAATGAAGTTTTCTTCAAGGATAATGAATGAGAAAAGCCTATTCCTTGGCATCTCTACAGCATGAAGCAAGGAAGATCCTGCATAGTTTTGTTAGTGATTGAAAATTGCTAGGACCCAGGGGTGGTGGAGTCTCTATATTAGAGGCAGAAGATTTACATTGATGGAGTCTTGATCTAAAAGCTAAATACATGGGGCTTTCATTTACCCCAAGTGGTTGCGATCCTTTCCATTCTGAATCACTGAGGTTCCAATATAATCTTATGAGATCAGAACCCTATTTTATGCGTCTACATCCTCAGAAATGGGAGCCTAATGTTGGCCCGTGGATGCATCTATTTCTACATAGATGATTGAAAGCCGTTTCTAAAGACGACATGGTAGAAGCAAGCTCAATAAAAAAAAAAAAAGGCGGACTCCATTTGGCATTCTTCAAAGTCACAGCATAACTTTGTTCTATGGCTTCAAGATGGATTAAAATATAGGTAAAAGCATTGCTAATCAGATCACCTGTGCATTCACAGTTACTGTGTATGTGGCATAGGCTATAAAATGCATCTGCTAAACTGCTCAAGGAAACTCTGCTGTATAAACTAACATATAAAAACAATCAAACAATAATGCAGCTTACCATAAGTAGGGTGCATTGGAAATAATGCGTCTTCCCCTTGCACAATCAGTCCCTTACTCAGACTTTTGAAGACCATAGGTTCCTAATAACTTTAATACTAGATGGCGACTCCCAAAAATTAATCATAATTTTCTAACACACAACACCCCTTATCAGGAGGCACGACAAGAACCTTCGTCGTCGCCAAACGACACTCGCGCACCTCGCGACACCCATCTTGGCTAAATTAAGGGCCTGCAATGAAGTTTTCTTCAAGGATAATGAATGAGAAAAGCCTATTCCTTGGCATCTCTACAGCATGAAGCAAGGAAGATCCTGCATAGTTTTGTTAGTGATTGAAAATTGCTAGGACCCAGGGGTGGTGGAGTCTCTATATTAGAGGCAGAAGATTTACATTGATGGAGTCTTGATCTAAAAGCTAAATACATGGGGCTTTCATTTACCCCAAGTGGTTGCGATCCTTTCCATTCTGAATCACTGAGGTTCCAATATAATCTTATGAGATCAGAACCCTATTTTATGCGTCTACATCCTCAGAAATGGGAGCCTAATGTTGGCCCGTGGATGCATCTATTTCTACATAGATGATTGAAAGCCGTTTCTAAAGACGACATGGTAGAAGCAAGCTCAATAAAAAAAAAAGGCGGACTCCATTTGGCATTCTTCAAAGTCACAGCATAACTTTGTTCTATGGCTTCAAGATGGATTAAAATATAGGTAAAAGCATTGCTAATCAGATCACCTGTGCATTCACAGTTACTGTGTATGTGGCATAGGCTATAAAATGCATCTGCTAAACTGCTCAAGGAAACTCTGCTGTATAAACTAACATATATCATTCAAATATGTTGACACAGTAAGAAACTCCATTGGCACCAGCAAGGAAATATATGCACCTGCATCCTTGCCGGGCAATGTAGGCATGGCTGCGGCGCAACCAGGGTGGCACCACTCCCACTTTTCCAAACGGGCACTAAAGCAGGCTATGCTGGATTCATGCATGAAACCTCAAACCGATCAAACAGAACTAAGGTGAAAATTTATGTCATTCATTTCAATCCTACATGTACAATATTATGAATATCGAAAATGGAAACAAGAACAGAAGAAAGTCCCTGATATATTTAATGGAAAAAAAACTCCATTGAAAATTTTGAAAAGCCTACTGTCAGACAAACACTCAGATAATTTACAAGAAAAGAAGAACAAACCCTTCCTCCCAGGTCCTAAATAATCAACTAATTAGGCTACAACACCCCTTATCAGGAGGCACGACAAGAACCTTCGTCGTCGCCAAACGACACTCGCGCACCTCGCGACACCCATCTTGGCTAAATTAAGGGCCTGCAATGAAGTTTTCTTCAAGGATAATGAATGAGAAAAGCCTATTCCTTGGCATCTCTACAGCATGAAGCAAGGAAGATCCTGCATAGTTTTGTTAGTGATTGAAAATTGCTAGGACCCAGGGGTGGTGGAGTCTCTATATTAGAGGCAGAAGATTTACATTGATGGAGTCTTGATCTAAAAGCTAAATACATGGGGCTTTCATTTACCCCAAGTGGTTGCGATCCTTTCCATCTCTGAATCACTGAGGTTCCAATATAATCTTATGAGATCAGAACCCTATTTTATGCGTCTACATCCTCAGAAATGGGAGCCTAATGTTGGCCCGTGGATGCATCTATTTCTACATAGATGATTGAAAGCCGTTTCTAAAGACGACATGGTAGAAGCAAGCTCAATAAAAAAAAAAAAAAGGCGGACTCCATTTGGCATTCTTCAAAGTCACAGCATAACTTTGTTCTATGGCTTCAAGATGGATTAAAATATAGGTAAAAGCATTGCTAATCAGATCACCTGTGCATTCACAGTTACTGTGTATGTGGCATAGGCTATAAAATGCATCTGCTAAACTGCTCAAGGAAACTCTGCTGTATAAACTAACATATATCATTCAAATATGTTGACACAGTAAGAACTCCATTGGCACCAGCAAGGAAATATATGCACCTGCATCCTTGCCGGGCAATGTAGGCATGGCTGCGGCGCAACCAGGGTGGCACCACTCCCACTTTTCCAAACGGGCACTAAAGCAGGCTATGCTGGATTCATGCATGAAACCTCAAACCGATCAAACAGAACTAAGGTGAAAATTTATGTCATTCATTTCAATCCTACATGTACAATATTATGAATATCGAAAATGGAAACAAGAACAGAAGAAAGTCCCTGATATATTTAATGGAAAAAAAACTCCATTGAAAATTTTGAAAAGCCTACTGTCAGACAAACACTCAGATAATTTACAAGAAAAGAAGAACAAACCCTTCCTCCCAGGTCCTAAATAATCAACTAATTAGGCTAACCAGCTGGAAGCTCTTGCTGCTACTTGAATATATTAAGCAGTTCTTTCCTCTCCTACCCTCTCCATTCTTTTTCTATCGTTTTGGCTTGTATTTATTTAATAAGAAAATTCATGACCTTTAAGGGATATATACTTTTTGACCCATATAGTTACATCCTCAGCACATACCCGAGCCTGTGGTGTATGGAGAAGCACGTCGAGTGTAGCGAACTCATGCACAGTATCCTTATAATCAAGAACAGGTGCGTCCACGTTAACTTTTCGCAGTTCCTCTGAGTAAGAAATGGCCCGGTCTCTCATAAAATCATGCTCTGCCACAATTGTTAGTGTTGGTGGCATGTACTTCAGTGGCGGCTGTCTTCCGGCAGTCAAAGGGTTGGCAGCTGGGTGATCCAGGCTGAATTGTTCCTTAGGTAGGAAAAGTTTCCATGCCAGCTTGCACATAGCCTTATCATAGAAGTATGAGTTTGCCAATTTAAGCTCAGAATGTGTGGGAGTGCTTCCGATGAAGAAAGGAAACATGAGGACTTGCGCCACCACCTTGACAGGATCCAACAACTTTCCAGCCTCCACAGCCCTTCGTGCCAAATAATCTGCTATGTTCGCACCAGAGCTCACCCCAAGCAATACACATCTGTTCTGATATCAATACCAAGTCAGGGAAGACCACTTCATTAAAACAGAAGGAAGAGAAAGCTATTGAAAAATCTTAATGTCATCAAATTGAATAGCTATATGTATTTTTGTAAATTTTGGACAATCTTTTACCAGGTTACTAGAACAGAATCAACTTATAATTAGTGAATTAATCAACAAAAACAAATTTATGAGTAAATAAAACTTAAAATCAATGTGATTTTTTTCATGTTAATTAATTATATGCTTGATAAACAGAACAGGCAAGTTAATCCAAGTGGATACCTGGAAGGATCTCCATGAGCAGCTAACCAAGGCTCGACCATGGAAGCACCAAAGCTATCAAAAATATGGCTTTGAGAATCCAATCTTCCACAAGCAGCCAAATTAGCCTGTTTTGCTATCCAATTAAGAACCTTGAACCCATCTTCAAAAGCCCCCGGATACTTGGTCTCTGGTGCCAATCTGTACCCAACAGCCACGACAATAACATCACACAGTTTGGCGATTCTCCTGCAAAACGCATCATTTCCTACCGATTCATTGCTGCCGCTCACAAACCCGCCACCGTGAAACTGCAACATCACAGGCAACTTCCGGTGAAAGTTACCTGGGGGAGGCAAATAGCCGCCGTAATCATGGGTTGAAGGCAGCGGGGAAGTGATAGCTGTGTCGGGTAGGAAAATGCGGAGAGAAAGAGAAGAGATGGGGTCGACATGGATGTCTTTGGTGGCTACACCGTCAGTGAAAGAAGGGTTGCTAGCGGCGATGGATTCGTGGGGTCGGGACGATACGCCAAATGAGTTAGTAGGTTTCTGATCAGTGAGAGAAGATAGAGAAAGGGTTTGTAAGAGGTTTTTTTGTTGATATTTGAAGAAGACGCTGTAGAGTTTCACGATCAAGTTTGGCATCTTTATTACTGTAGAGAGAGAGATAAGAGAGGATTTAGGTGGAGACTCCCTTCGGCCACCAAGGAAAGGATTGAGAGTTTTTACAAGTACTTCATTTTTTAATTTTCATGGAGCTCACGCCGCCATTGATGATGTGAGAAAGAAAGAGGAGAAGAATTCAATTCAAGATTTATGCATTTTCAAAGCGTGTGAGAGACTCGAGGATATGAGAAGGGTCAGAGAGACAGAAGCTTCTGAATTGATACAGTTTCAGGTTAGGAGAGCAGGTGGTAAGTGGTTCCCTTGACTGCCTCCATCTGAGAAAAACAAAATAAAAAAAAGTTTGTGTTTTTTATTGGTTGGTTGTGCATTCTTGGTGACCGCTTGTTTGGTTTTGTTTTACATGCAGAGTGAGTTTCGAACTGCGTTTAGATGTCTTTCAAAACCATTTATATTTTCAAAAAGCATATTTTTTTTAATAATTTTAATTCATTAATATTAAAAATAAAAAAATTATTTTTAAAAAGTAATATCTTGTGTTTTTCAGAAGTTTTAAAAATACATTTTACTTTTAAAAAATCTAGTGTTTTTCGATAATTTTAATATTTTAATATTAAAAAAATTATTTTAAAACAAAAAATATTTTTTAAAAACATAACAACACGGAATACTAAACACACAACAAATTCACGCTAAATGCAGGTTCGTTTTCGCAGAAAAAACATTGTTTTTAAAAAACTTAAAATATTATTTTGATATACTAATATTAAAAAAAAATATTATTATAATATATTAAAAAAGGAAACAACTTCTAGGAAAATACACAGATAATAATAAAACTTGGTTTGTTTCTGCAGCTGCATGCAGAACCAAAGAGTCCCGGGAACAAAGCAATTGTACCGGTTGGAATTTTATTTTGGATTTTTCAATCAATGAGGGCAAAAAGTTGCTAACTTTTTTTTATTTGGTGGGCCATAGATAGGATCCTGACAATTAGTGTTGGGAAAGACATTCGGGTCAGGCTAACTTCATCACGCAATCAAGTCCTTGTCAGCAATAGTGGCCGGATTTGCTTTAGCTTTCTATTTTAGTGTTTTAAAAATATTTAAAAAAATAAGATTTTTTTTATTTTTTTATTTGCTTAAAATTAATACATTTTTAATATTTTTAAATTATTTTAATATATTAATTTTTAAAATAATTTTTAAAAATAAAAAAATATTATTAATATATATTTTAACATAAAAAATTATTTAAAAACAACTAAAACCACCGAACAAAACAAGCTAACATAAAAATTTACTAGACGTTGAAAGTCATATGCTGCATGTTGAAGTATTATATAATTTAATAACATAAATGAAATTGTCAAGGAATACGAGGGTGCGTGTCAATTCTGGACAAGTAAATTAAAATAATCAATGCATGCAACGAGCATATGCTAAAAATATTAATTTTTTATAAGAAAATAAAAGCTTTTGGAAATAATTAAGGAAGCAATATGAGGGTGTGTGCCATTAAAAAAAAATAAAAATCTAAAACTTTAATATTTTTAAGAAATAAGAAATTGAGATTCTCAAAACAAAATCTAGCAACAAAAGTTTTTAAATTTTTTAAGGAATTAATAAGTAAGTATTTTTATAAAATAAATAAAAAATTATTGAATATATTTATGAAATAAAAACAATTTCTAAACAACTCTGCTATTAAGTTTTTAAAAAGAAAGCCTAATTAATGCTCTAGAAAGTCTTGGATCCACTCTCAGGCTCTTAGAGGATACAGATGGGCTTATTTAAAGCCCACAAGGGGCTAAGAAGGACAGGGTGGACTAGAGAGTAGAGGCTAGAGCGGTGGCAAATATCTCGGAACACTGGGGGAAAAGGAAAAGGCCGAATAGTCCCTATGTTTCGATTAATATGAAAAGGAAAAGGCCGAATAGTCCCTATGTTTCGATTAATATGAAAAGGAAAAGGCCGAATAGTCCCTATGTTTCGATTAATATTGCAAAAAAGCCCTTGTGAGAAGGATTTGTAAAGTTCTGCTAGGCAAAAATTAATCATCCCAAATAGAGGTAGAGAGGTAGAGGTAATTATTTTTAATTTGATTTGGTTTTTATTTATAAAAAAATTTAAATTATTTTAAAAAAAAAAATCAAAATCGAGTCAAACTTACCAGTTTTGGTCCAGTCTGATCCGGTTCTTAATTTCAAAAAACCAAAAAAACCTATACAATCATATTTCTTCTCGAACTCGCCAGTAGCCTTTTCACAAATATTATTTTCCTGCATTGTAAACAACTAAAAGCCAAAAATCAATACCACTCATTTTAATTAAAAAATAAAATAAAATAACATACTAAATCCAAAATTTAAATCAAAACCCTAAATTTTTTACAAAACAAGCATGGTTTTTCCTATATTTTTCAAATACCTAGATGCCAAAAATCCAAACCTGATTTTTTTAATATCAAAACCTCAAATCTTTTTATACAGATAAATATTATCTTCCCTGCATTATAAAGAATACCCAGAAGCAAATGGAAGCAGCGATCTTCCTTTTTATTCTCGACAAGTTCAACAATTCCCTTCCATCCACTCCTTTTCAACTTCTTATAATAATTCTTAGATCTCGGAACACTGGGGGAAAAGGAAAAGCCCGAATAGTCCCTATGTTTCGAATAATATGAAAAGTTTGATCATTTTCAGTTTGATTTAATTTTTATTTATAAAAAAACCCAAATTAATTTTTTTAAAAAACTAAAATCAAGTTAAATTGACTGTTTCGATCCAGTCCGATTTGGTTCTTAATTTTAAAAAACTAAGAAAACCTATACGATTATATTTTTTCCCGAACTCGCCGGTAGTCTTTTTACAAATATTATTTTCCTGCATTGTGCAGACTACAAACAACTAAAAGCCAAAAATCAACACCACTAATTTCAATTAAAAATAAAATAAAATAATATCCTAAATCCAAAACTCTGGTATAAATCAAAACCTTAAATTTCTTTCAAAATAAACATGGTTTTTCTTATTTTTTTCAAATACCTAGATGCCAAAAATCCAAACCTGATTTTTTAAAATCAAAACCCCAAATCTTTTTTTACAGATAAATATTATATTTCCTGCATTATAAAGAATACCCAGAAGCAAATGGAAGCAACGGTCTTCCTTTTCATTCTCGACAAGTTCAACAATTCCCTTCCATCCACTCTTTTTCAACTTCTTATAATAATTCTTAGCTGCAATAGTCAAATAGTCTTCCTCAGCTACAAAGATCAACATCCTCTTGCACCCAAGCTTGGCAAGATCCTCTACATCGCGATTCATCCTAGGATCAAGAGGCGAGAGGGGGCTATTTCTAAGTCTAGGGGGAGGGAGAGGGGCTGCTTCTACGTCTAGGGGGAGGGAGAGCGAGTGGGAGAGCGAGAGGGGGCTGCTGGTGGCTAGGGTTATTAGGGGGGGAATAAATTTTTCTATTTATATATTTTTTTAATTGACTTGGTTTTTTACACACTATAAAACTAAAAACTAAACTGAATCGGTTTTTTTTAAAATATTTTAATTAATTTAATTGATTTTTTTTATTTAATTTTTTTTGTTTTATTAGTTTATTTAATTTTCTAATTTTTTTACACACCTAAAAACCCAAAATAATTAGAGTTTAATTAAATGGTAAGAAGAATATCAAAATAAGAGTTTCAAAAATCTTTAAAAAAAAATTAAAAAATCAAAATATGATAGTATTTTGGGAAAAAAAGTAAATATATAGAATTTTAATTAATTAAAAAATCCAGAAAATCATTCACTAAAATTTCTTAGTAACTAACATTTTAAAAAATGCTTAAGGGGATTAAAAATTAGTTTTTTTTAGAAAACATAAAAACGTCTGAAGAATATCCGTGAAATAAAAATAAATTTTAATTAAACCATATATTAATTTTTTAGTAAAAAAATATAATTAAAATATCTTGAAAAATATTAAATTTTTAAAACGTTTCAGGAATAATTTTGTTGTTTGAAACACTCAAACCAGAAAGTTCTGGAACTTCTTAGCCATTGTATTTTTTGGAAATATTTTAAAATAATCAAGAAAAAACTCTGAAATTCATAAACTATGAAGTTCTGAAAAACAATCAAGAAATAGAAAATTTCAAAACTTTGGTGCTATGATCGAAAGCTTCTCCGTGTATATATATATATATATAAACATATTTTTATGGCTAAAATACCCTCCTATCAACAGTGACCTTGTTTGTTCACATTTAGTTTTCACTGCATCCATTTTATGCGTTAGGTTGCGGATTAAATAGATATTTTTTTAAAATATAATAAAAAAATCTAGATATTATTAATATTTTTTAAATAAAAAAATTAAATAGTAAAATAATTTGATGACGACTTGACAAGTTTAAATACAAACTAGATTATTCATAAAAATATAATTTAAGTCACAAAAATTTAAAATAATTTTTTAAAAAAAATATTAAAATAAAAATATATTAAATCTATCTAAATTATAAGATCAAAATAACTTCATACAAGTTAAATTAAAATAAATCATGAATTTTAATTTCTAATTAAAAACTTTATAAAAAATTATTTACATTAACTTGAGTTAATTTGTTAAACTTACTGCTTAGATTATGAAATTAAAATAATGTTATAAAAACTGAATCAAAATAAATTATAAAATTTAATTTTTAATAAATTTATTATTAAATTAAATAATTTAATTTATAAAAAAAATCAATGTAAAAAATTAAAATGATAAAATGATATTATTATCCTGAAAATCTATAACTCAAAATCAAGGGAATTTAACAGCCTTATAAAAAAAAAATCACGTCAATCATGAGATTAAGTATTATTAAACAGATTGTTGACAATGCTCGTTGGCCAATGACTAGTAGCTGTAACGACAAATCTTCAAGTACTCTCCAGTCTCATCCCAAGAAACCAACCAATCAGACACAAATACACACACAAAAGAGAGGAGACGATTAGTATCCATGATTATACAGACTGAAAACCACCATAGACAAGAAGAAATCAGAGCCTATTTTGAGATATTTATAGAGAAGACATGGGCATGATGAGGTCCGAGGCAACTGGATCAAAAGAAGCAGCTGCGAGCAGCTCTCGATCACGTTCAAAAAAGGCCATGTCGTCTTCAGTTAAAGTCACCCAAGCCTCGATTCCTTTACCATCTTTAGCGTCCATAATTGAAGCCACATTCTTGTAAGCCCCAGTAGGAATGGTTACCCAGGTGGGCTTTCCCCACCCAAAATCGATACCGTAAAACGGGAGCCTGCAGAAACTGGTGCTAACGTAGAAGTCTACATTACCTTCTGGAAGCATGCTTGCTGCCTCTTGGAATGGTTCACAAATAGCCATGGAGGCCTTATCTTTTCCAAGTTTCTTCAGGTAGTTCTCACCAAAATCTTGCAACCCTTTCCTTAGCTGACGAGCCAGGCTTTGCAATTCAACCTCGCATTCTGTAGCACATGAAGCGAAATAACCCGCGAGGTTTCCAATAGTGTGTTCAGGCAAAGGAGGCACCATTTTATTGCGTAAATTCACAGATTGTGAGAGAATAGAATATCTTAAATGCTCTGAGTTCGATCTTGCGGCGTTCATTGCGCATTTCCAAATCAGGGCCGTTACAGCTTCAACTCTTGTTGGACATGTCACGCTTTCACAGACAGCTTTAACCTGAAGAGCAGCAACCTTGGAGGCATCAAAGACAACTCTCTTTGTAACACATCTGTCACGCATAACTTCGAGAGCTGCAGGCTTTGAAAGCGATATGTTTTGAGGAGGAAATACGGATGGTGCATTGAATAAAGGAAGTATGGTACTGTCCCCAGAATGAAAAGCCGCAGCTGCCCAAGCCTTTACGAAGGTGCTAAAGGTAACCGGATCAGCTACCATGTGAGAGATGCAAACTCCAATCGCCAACCCGCCGCAGGCAAAGAAATTTGCTTGAACAAGCACTAGACTACCCGTGAGTTCCTCTGGCGACTCAATCCCAGTAGGAATGAATTTTCTTATCACCTCAGCATCAGGCTTTTCAAGAAACTTGGATAGAAGACAGTTGACTCGTGCTTCAACAAAAACAGCTCCAAAATCGTTGCATTCAATAGAGGCATCATCTTTGATTCTGCCAGCAAGGGGGTAGAATCGGGATAAGGTTTCAGACAGTGATCTCTTTAGCCGCTCGGATTTGTGAGCAACCGTGAATTTCTGCTGGAAGCTTGAGTAGACGAGAAGCAGAGGTTCGTTAGCCACAGGAGGAAGCTGATCCAGAAAGCAAAGGTTAAACTCTCTTAGGTGATCAGGGGTTGGAGAGGATGGCTTCACGGCTTCTCTCGTAATTATCTCGACAGCCATCTTGTTCCCCTACAGTTTCCCAACAGAACTAAGTAGCAGGAGTACTAATTTTCTCACTCTGATTTGGAGGCAGGGAGAAATAAAAAGGGATAAGGTGCGGCCTGTGTTCTGATCAGGTGGGCCAGCTCAAAGAAAACAACGTATACCTAATGCGACGACTAGTCTCCATCTGGCTTAACTACATTTAGCTATTTTAACTAAATTTAGCTAAAAATATAGAGCATGCGTGGATGTCCACGCTTTTAGAAATTTGGAAATTACTTGAAAAATAATAACATTCAGGATGTTGCCATCAAATTAGGATGTGAATGTGCAACTACTAGTCAAGTTTTTATTTTATTTATATTATATTGATTACTTAATAAGTATACTGATTACTTAATAAGTAACTAATTTAGATATTTATACCATTAATTTATTCTAAATAGTATTTGTTATTCAATATATATATTATTCATTTAGCAAAGTAATTAAAAAATAAACTCTAGTATAGATTTGTCAAGTTTACATTAAACTAGATATTTAGCCAAAGCTACAAATAACCTCTCTTTTTTTCAATGTAAAGAAAGAATGTCAAGACAATGTAAGTGTTTCTAAAAAGGTAAAAGAAATCTATAACATGAGTCATTGATTCAATTGAATTTAATAAATTTAACTAATTTAATAACATAAATAAAAAAAATACAACAATGATAAATAAAGTTTTATACATATATTTGATGTGTTAACCTGAATGAACTTGATTTCTAATATGTGGCTTGACTGAAATACCAGAGTATTCTCATTAATAACAAATTGAATAAAATCATCTAGGTTAATTATCAAATAACCCAATATTAAAGAACAAAACTATATATATATATATATATATATACATATATATATTTAATTTCAATAAAAAAAACTCAAGTCCAATCAGGTTAACCTGTTAACCTCAAGATCATGAGTATAAGATTAGGATAACTCCATGTAAAAGAAAGTAAAAAACAAAACATGAAAATTGATTTTCAATCAAACAAATATCGAATGATGAAATTAAAATAAAAAATCAACTTAAAAAAAACAAATGTTGAAGAATCTTATCTAATAATGAAGAGAAAAATTAAATAAGAATGTGAAACCTCATAGAAAGTAAAATACAAAAATTTGGATCTGAATTTTTAGCAAGAAAAATATCAAAAGGTGAAATTGAAGAAAAAAAAATATAATCCTAAAAAATGTCAAAAAAAAAAGCTATAATCTCAATCTAAATGGGTTAACATATAAAATTTACAATTTGATTGTGATATAGAGCAATTTAATCAAAAATAAATTAAATAAAATTATGAAGCTTAATTATCAAATAATTTTTTCACTCTGATTTGGAGGCAGGGAGAAATAAAAAGGGATAAGGTGCAGCCTGTGTTCTGATCAGGTTGGCCAGCTCAAAGAAAACAACGTATACCTAATGTGACGACTAGTCTCCTTCTAGCTTAACTACATTTAGCTATTTTAACTAAATTTGGAAATTACTTGAAAAATAATAACGTTCAGGATGTTGCCATCAAATTAGGATGTGAATGTGCAACTACTAGTCAAGTTTTTATTTTATTTATATTATACTGATTACTTAATAAGTAACTAATTTAGATATTTATACCATTAATTTATTCTAAATAGTATTTGTTATTCAATATATATATTATTCATTTAGCAAAGTAATTAAAAAATAAACTCTAGTATAGATTTGTCAAGTTTACATTAAACTAGATATTTAGCCAAAGCTACAAATAACCTCTCTTTTTTTCAATGTAAAGAAAGAATAATTGATTTATTTTTTCAATGTAAAGAAAGAATGTCAAGACAATGTAAGTGTTTCTAAAAAGGTAAAAGAAATCTATAACATGAGTCATTGATTCAATTGAATTTAATAAATTTAACTAATTTAATAACATTAAAAAAAAAATACAACAATGATAAATAAAGTTTTATACATATATTTGATGTGTTAACCTGAATGAACTTGATTTCTAATATGTGGCTTGACTGAAATACCAGAGTATTCTCATTAATAACAAATTGAATAAAATCATCTAGGTTAATTATCAAATAACCCAATATTAAAGAACAAAACTAAATA